TGTTCTGTCAATCCTATTCAGGATGACTCGAGTGAACAGCTTGTAGATGACAGACAACAGGCAGATCTGGCGATAGTTGCCAATGTCGTGAATGTCTCCCTTCTTCTTGTTGTACAGTAGAATAATCCTGCTGGTTTTCCAGTGGGACAGAACCTTGCATTCAGACAGGTAGCATGTGGAGAACCGAGCCATTGATTGATGAGTACTGATGGCAGGTTCTTTGGGTGTTCAGGTCTGACCTTGTGTGGGCCAGGTACTGTTTGTTTCTTTACCATCTAAATGGCATGTAGGATTTTGAAAGGGGGAACGTTGGGAGCAACATACGAATACATTTTAATTAAAAAAAAAAGTTTGACGAAGCACCAGGAGGTTTAAGGACAGGTGAGAGGAGTGAGAAGAGAAGGAGGTGGAGAGAGAGAAAAACCACTTGGGTCTCACCTTTCTCTCTGGGAAGCTCTGTGTCTCCATCAGAGAAACGGACAGAGCTGAGCACCCAGTTCCTGTGGCAGCAACTCAATTCAATACAACCAACATTGACCGAGCATTTTCTATCGGCAAAGTGAGGAGCATGCACAGGAACCAGAGAAACTGGTTTAGCCATCCTGCCAGCTGGCTGTGGAGAAGGTCAATGAAACCAAAGACCCAAAGTTTCTAAAATCCTTGCCGTGCTGTCACTGAGAGATGCCTGCTGGGGGTGGAGATGGAGCACAGGAGTAAAGAGTTTGCTGTGCAAGCGCCCCACCCCTCCTTGTTCAATCTCCAGCATCAAATATCCACGAGCACCGAGCCAGGAGTTATTCTTGTGCACCCCTGGAGTGGCTCAAAAGCAAAACAAAGCTTGGTTCAGCTGGACAGTTACATCCTCTGGTCAAATAACAAAACGGCCCTCCTGATGAAGGAATGGGCCTTCGGGAGAAATCTCACAAGTCTTGCAGTGAAAGCGGCCAAAAGTCCTCAGAGAGATCGACCAGTTCAGCCAGGCTGACACCCTCAGGCCTCCAGACCAGCCAAACGAGCTGGGTCTGAGATGAGCGCCAACGGCGCCTCAGGGTTCCGACCTCAGTCTCACACGTACCTCACTCACATGGCAAACGCGTTTTCTGCCAAACACAGAATGACTTCTTGCTTCCGTTTGCTCCACGACAGCTCACATGCCATTGAACTGCAGTAAGTTAACAAAGCAAAAATCTTGAAAATGAAACACAGTGCTACTAGCTAAGTGCTGGGAGGACAGCAACGCTTAATACTGCACAGACAGACTGGCCCGGGCTGATGGAAACAAAGGCCATGGGGGCCGGAGCCATAGCACAGTGGGGAGGGCATTTGCCTTGCACGCGGCTGACCTGAGTTTGAGCCCTGGCATCCCATATGGTCCCCCCGGCACCGCCAGGAGTAATTCCTGAGAGCCGAGCCAGGAGTAAGCCCTGAGCATCGCTGAGAGTGACAGAGAGAGAGAGAGAGAGAGAGAGAGAGAGAGAGAGCGCACTGCTATACCTCCCCAAGGCAAGGCCAGCAACTCATGTGTCACCTCTCTTGAGCCCACTGTCTCCCCTCTCAGACGAGGGCTCTGAGCACAGTGCTTGCATCACAAACCCTGACATCACAGACGTCAGGAGGGTAGGGGGTGGGACAGGTGGCCAAGAGCCAAAGAAGAACGCTGTGCCTGCTAAATTCAAAATGCAAAAAAAAACGATCTCTAAACTAACATTTGGTGGTGGAGGGGAAGCATTACTTGTAGGCTTCGTTTCCAGAAGTTAGGGAGAAAATAAAAAGACTGGTGCTCGTCTGCAAAGGACAGGGGGATCTCATGTTCAAGGTTTAAATGTAGCTGATGTCCTGAGGGGCTGAGATCTTATCGGGAGTTGAAACTGAGCTGCAGAAACCCAAAACCAAGTGAGACCTGCCAGGCAGGGTCATGGATGGGAGAGAATTCCCAGAGCAGAGAGAGGCCAAAGGGCCTGGGGCCACCAGCCGGAGTGCTGGCAAGCAGAGCTCCTGCTGATGACCCCACTAGCCCCTGTGGACACTGGGCCCTGTTGTGTCCAGGGAGATTATCTCACAGCGCCTCTGAGAGCAGCTGAGCTAAATTAAACACACACTGGGACAAACTTTTTCTACTTGCGAAACATTGGTAGATGCTAATTATTCAGCTGGCCTAAAAGGACAGGAAGTGCATATTTCCCAAAATTACTAAGTGCATCTACAGAGGCTCACTCATACTTTCAGAAAATCCCCAAACGTAATTGGGAAGGCTACAAGTCCTAGCAAGCAATCCAGGATTTTAGGAGCTGTCTAGTTGCTATTATCACGGTGTTTTGTTTTAGTTTCTGGGTGTCCCCCACCCCACACACCACACACCATCTAGGCTCTAGATGTCTAAAAGCTTTAGATAAAGATCTGTACAAGTGCCTGCCTTTAGCTGCAGGATATTTTCCATATCAAAGGGAGCAATCACAAGACAGACCTATAGGAAAATGTGTCTAATGTGATATGCAGATAATGGTTTTGGAGTCTCAGTGAAATCTAGCTGGCCGGGGATGTTCGTTTCTTTTTGTTATGCGTTTTTTTTTTTTATTCTTACCATATAGAACGGAATCAGAAGAATGTTGACATAGGGGCATCTAAATGGCCAACTCAAACTCAGAGTATTTGGAGCAGACAAGTGAGGAGAACACAGGCACCCCTGAAGTTTGGCAAATGGACCTGAACAGCACAGAGTCAAAACTTCCAACGCGTGTGTAAGAGAGAAACAGCCTTGAGTTGACTCCTTTCAAAGGGCAGTACTCATACCCCAGTCCCTGCACTATTAGGCCTCCTAAGCCCCAACATCTAATTTTCCACTTCATAGAAAGTTGTAAACTGAGGTATAATTAACGTAAGAGCATAAGAGGTTTCAGGTTCCAGCCAAATGATCTGGTATTTGCAAGCTCCATGAAGACTGAGTGCCAAGTGGGCTGCTACCCCTGCCAACCACACACAGGCCCTCTGAAGATTCTTTAAGCTCTGCACCTTCTCTGGGGTGCACTTGCATTCCCAGGACTTATCTGCCTTGTAACTGGAATTTCACCCTCAGAAATGAAGACTCCAGTCTGATGGGGTTTGTACCCCTGCCCCCCAACCCCCCCCCCCCCCCCCCCCGCCCAAAAGCAGCAAGTAAGAAATATGGAGAAAAGGGCTTAGACTTGGTCATTTGAGAAGGGGCAGCCAGTCTGGGAATCCACAAAAATTCTACTCAAAATACTAAACGATGTAACAGAAAATTACTACATCCCTGGTTTATGTTTTGCATGCTGCATGCTTCCCTGGTTTGTGGAAGGGCTCCTGCTACTGCGGTGTCATCACAGCACTCATACTTCTGACCATAAAGTTCTCTTCTAAACAGCCTCCCTATGGGGCCTATGTGATAGTACAGCAGGTAGAACGTTTGCCTGGCACACAGCTGGCTGACCTGGGTTTGATTCCTGATATCGTTTATAGTACGCTGAACTTGCCAGGAGTGATTCCTGGGTAAAGAGCCAGCAGTAACCCTGGAGCATTGCCAGGAATGACCCCAAGCCCTAAAAAAACCAAAACTAACGAAAAGAACCAGCTTCTTTATTTAGTATTCCACATTTAAGAAATCTGCCCCTTTTCCAGGGTAACACAATGCCTTTTCTCACCCTCTTTCAAACATTAACTGAAGACGTTTATATATTTTATCATTGCATTTTTTTTTCAACAGAAGAAACACTTGTTTACAAGACTATATACTGGGATACAATTTCATACCTGTCCAAACCTACGTCACTGCACCCAGAGGCGCACTGCTAAAGTACCAATCTCCCTCCTTGGTGATTTTACATGCCTGTCTGTCTTCTCGAAGCTGCATCATCTATTCAGAGACCTGCAGATGTCCAACCCTCCCTCTTCTGCCCGTCTTTGATGAGGCTGATTTCCGGATGCTGGTCCTAGGAGTCTTTACACGCACACCCCTGTCCTACATCCCACCCACAAAGGTGTCCTCCCTACGGAGGGCCACCTTTGGGTTCTAGCACAGCCTCATTTGCTGCGCAGATGCTTTTTAGTTTGGTGAGGTCCCAACTGCTCATTCTTCATTTGGTTAGGCAAGGCTCTATTCACCGGGGCATTTAAATAGTTCCAGCATCACTCCAGATGCTTAAGTCCTGAGACAGCTGGAGGGGAGAAAAAAAAAGGGAAAACCAAACATCCTCGACCAAAGAAAACAAAACAAAACACCCGAAAGAAACCACCTGCCAGGAAGTGAAAGTGACATCCCAGCGCAAATTTTCTGCTTTTCTCCCCAACAGCCGTTAGCGGATTTATTTTTTTTTTTAAGTTGAAAGGAAAGAAAAACGTCTCAAAGACGGGAAAGTGCCCCTGTTGGGGTTCCGGTGAAAACTACAGCAGGCCCAGACGGCGCGACCGGGGAACTCCGAGCCACCGCGCCCCCACCGCGACCCCCGGCAGGCCGCTGCGTGTCGGGGTCCCGGGCGCGGGGTCCCGGCGGCGACGCCCCCTGCTCAGCGATACCCCCAGTCCCGGTGATGCCCCCTGCCCTCCTGCCCCCTGCCCCGGCGATTCCCCCCTCTGAGCCCGGCGGCGCCCCCTGCCCTCTTGCCCCCTCCCCGGCGGCGCCCCCTGACCCTCTGCCCCCTGCCCCGGCGGCGCTCCCTGCCCCGCTGCCTCCTGTCCGGCGGCGTCCCCTGGCCCCTGCCACTCCTGCCCCCCATCCACTGTCCAGCGGCGCCCCTTGTCCCCCTGCCCCGTGGCCCCCTGCCCCGGAGGCGCCCCTTTCGCCCCTGCCCCCTTGTCCGGCGGCGTCCCCTGCCCCCTGCCCCCTTCCCGGGGGTCCGGCTCCCCTCTGCCCCTCGCTCGGGAAACTCTCCCGGGGCGCTGCCGCTGAGGCTGCCCGGTCCGGCCGCGGGGACGTACACCTGCAGCCCGGGACCCACCTGTCGCCAACTTTCCCGCCCGCGGGCCGACCGTGCGCCCCGACTCACCCGCAGGAGCGCAGGGCCGGGGCCGGAGCAGTTCGGCGGGCGCCAGGGCCAGGGGCAGCCCCGGAGCATCATCGCGCGGCGCCCCCAAGCCGGCCCGCGCTCGCCGTGCGCGCAGCCGCCCCGCCGCCAGGGGGCGCGACAGGGGCGGGGCCTCGCGGAGGGCGTGGCCGCGAGGAAGAGGCGGGGCTGCGGTGGGCCTGCCAGTGGGCGTGGCTCGATGCGGGCGGGGCAAAGTCGCATGCTGGGCGGGGCATGGGCTCATGCTGGGCGGAACGGGCGGGATGAGCTGGGTCTGTGGGCGTGACCTCTAGGTGGGCGGGGCATGGTCGCACGCTGGGAGGGACGGGCGGGGCCGGTGGGTGTGGCCTCGCGACGGGCGTGGCTCCCTCTACCCGTGCCAAGCCCGGTTGTTTTCTTCCTCCGTACAGAAATAAACCATCGCCCCAACACCACCAGTGCGACCTTCCCTCCACCGAGGTCCCCATTTCCCCTCCCACCCCCAACCTGCCCCTTTAGGCACAAAGCAAATCAACTTTATATTACTTCTTCCAGCAGAACTTTGAGAAACGGCAAACAGAATGATCACAAAATAAATCTTCCTAACACCTGGGAAATCGAATGCTGGCAGGGAAACATACAGCCACTTACTACAGCCTGGCTAGATAACGTACAGGACACAGTTAAATAGAACGACGAAAATAGATATCTTTTAAAATATTTGTTCCAGATGTGGCTTGGCTCACAATCTTTTCCAAAATGAATTATCAGGGACATACTTCAATTAAACTGTTGTTGATATGTAGTTCAAATTTAATTGGACAACCCGTATCTTTATTGCCTAAATCCGCATGATATTTTAGTGAATCAATCAAAGCTGATAAAAGGGCAACAATGGCCAATCTCTTGAGAGACAAGATTCTTATTTTGAAAAACTGTGGTTTTCGTCTGCTGGAAGACAGATTCATATCTGTGAAAGACATGTGAGGACAGCACCTGCGTTTCTTTCCCTTCCCTCCTTGCCTCGAGAACCTCCCACCTGCAAGGCACATGCTGTGCCTTTTCCCTCCAATGGGGCGGCAGCCCTGCCCCTGCAACTGCATCTCAAAACACAGCTGCACTTTTCAGAGAGGGACACTTCTGTTCCTTTCTGTGTGCCTCAGTTTACCTCTCTAGGCATGTTTCTCATTCTTCCTATCACGTCAACGTTGGGTTCCTAATTTAAAAAATATTTTTTTTCTGAAAATGAAGGCCCCCTAATATATAAAGTTCTGTTTTGTCTTCTCAGCACATGGCTTTCCCCGCCCCAGGCCTAACCATCAGGATCTTACGTGGTTTCCTGGGTACCAAAGGCCCATGGCCAGTAGGATTAGGCCCCGGGGTTACAGATGAGGGCGCTGGAGCTAACAGTCAGTCATTTACTCTCTGTGTGTGTAGCCAGAAATTAGGTGGTGAGGCTAGGGGAGAGAGAGAGAGAGAGAGAGAGAGAGAGAGAGAGAGAGAGAGAGAGAGAGAGAGAAGAGCGATACAGCAGGTAGGGCATCTGCTTTGCTCTCTGGCAAAGGTCCCCTGAGCCCCACCGGGGGTAATATCCCTGAGCACAGAGCTAGGAGGAAATCCCGAGCTCTGCCAGGTATATATAGTCAAAAACCAAAAATCAGGCAAGGAATTATGTGACAAGTCCACAGTTCCAACCCTGACACACAGCAGCTGATCTCCTTCAGTGTCATCAGCTGCCTGCCTGGCCCTTACACAGGTGTCCAGGGCCACCTGATTGGGTTAGGATCAGGTGAGGCCAAGTCACCGCTGACATGCCGAGTCAAAGCCCATGTTCGTACTCATGTTTGTTATTCTTTGTATCTTTGATATTTTTGCCTTTTTACTTGTATTTTTTGAGCCACACCCACTGATGCTCAGTAGTTACTCCTGGCTCTGCACTCAGGTACTCCTGGTAGTGCTCGGGGAACCAGATGGGATGCTGGGAATTGAATCCAGTTGGCTGCATGCAAGACAAACGCCCTCCCTGATATAATACCTCTCTGGTACCTTGCCTTTTATTTTAAGAAGTGTTTTTAGGGTTGGAGAGATAGTACAGGGGTTAAGTAGCTTATCCTGCCTGCAACTGACCCCAGTTTGATCCCCAGGACTACATGTCCCCTGAGTATGGCCAGGAGTCATCCCTGAGTATAGATCTGGGAGTAGCCCCGGAACACTGTAGGGTGTGGCCCAAACTCCCTCCTCCAAGAAATAAAGTAATAAATTAGAAATAAGTAGAAATGCAGAACGACTTTCAAGCTAAATGCCAGAGACATCACTCAACATTAAGACATTCATTGCTTAGGAAAAAATAATAGAGTCTTAAATGTACTTATTGGAAAAAGTTTTTGGAAATAAACCAAGCTTATGATCCAAGACATTAAAAAAGCATTAGCAAAAATAAACCTAAAGGAAGCAACGGGAAGGAAATGATAAAGGTGAAGCAGGAAAAGCCCAACTTCCCCCACTGTCTTGGAAAGCTAAAACTCCCTCAAAGGGGCCAAGGCAACAAAACCACATTTTAAAATGGCCAACAAGAAACAAAGATGAAATACAAAAAGCATAGCTAAAGAAAGGATGAAGATAAAGCTACTCCCTTTAACAGCCTTTATCAGTTAAGCCACAGCTCTTGAGCGCAAACTCAGCCCTTCTTGGCCAGCCTGAAGAGTGAGGGGCCAGGAGGACAGAGATGTATCTGCTGGGAAGATGCCCCAGCCCTGGGACCCGGGGGAGCAGTGCAGAGCCTGGAGCAGGTGCCTAGCAAGCACTAGGGCTCAGGGCTCCTCTCCAGCACTGTGTGGTCCCCAGGAACCGCTGGACATAGCCCTGAGGGCCTCCAGCACGGGTGTTGTAAAAATATCCCCCAAGCCTCAGAGGATTACTGGTTCTGTTCAACCAGAACTTCAAGATTAAGTCATATATTTGACGCCCAGCACAACCCAGTGGGGGACCTGTATAATTTCACTCCTGGGTACCAACCCCCAAAACACAGAAACACTAAGCTGAAACACATGCACAGCGCAGAGGCTTATGGTGGTTCTGTTTACACAGACAAGAGCCAGGAGCGAATTCAGTGCTAGATCAAGCTATGGTTTGTACATAATGTCTAAAATGAGAGAGAGAGACAGACTGACAGACAGACAGACACACACACACACAGAGAGAGAGAGAGAGAGAGAGAGAGGGAGGAGAGGAGAGATGCCTGCCATAGAGGCAGGCTGGGATGGGGAATGGCTTGAAGGGATGGGAGGGAATCTGGGGACACTGGTCACTGGTGCTGGGAAATTACACTGGTGGAGGGATGGGTGTTGGAACACTGTATGACTGAAACGCAATCATGAACATTTTTGTAATGCTCTATCTCACGGAGATTCAATATAAAAAAGATGTGGTTTGCATAACGGAGATTCAATATTAAAAAAAGACGTGGTTTGTATACACAAAGGAATGCCACCTAGCTGGAAAAAAAAATTTTTTTTCTACAACATGGATGGAACTGGACAGAGTCATGCTGAGCGAAATATGAAATCAGTCAGCGGGGACTGAGGAGATGGCTCCAAGGAGATGCCCTGCGGCAGGAGGACAGAGAGAGAGAGAGAGAGAGAGAGAGAGAGAGAGAGAGGTGGAGAGAGAGAGGGAGAGAGGGAGAGAGGGAGGATAGAGGGAGAGTTGAGGGAGAAAGAGAGGGAGGACAGGGAGAGAGAAGAGAGAGGGGTAGAGAAAGGAGAGGGAGAGAGAGATGGAGAGAGGGATAGAGGGAGAAAAGGAGAGGGAGAGAAAGGGAGAGAGGAGAGAGGAAAGGTGGGGGGAGACAGAAAGAGTGAGACCTACCAAGGATTTGTCTCACCACAGAGGGATGGGAGGCTGGTCCATGTGAAGGCACCATGGGTGGGAGCCGTGACGGAGACAGGGCTGGGACAGGGTGGGGACAGTGGGGACATGCCTTAACACGGAGCCCAGGTGCAGCCCCAACCCTGAAGGCTGGAAACTTTGACTGTGTCCTGCAGGCTGACAATAGTCCACAACAGGATTTTCAGGGTATAGAAATAAAACTCCATTCATAAGTAAGCAGGACACAAGGGGTTTTTAATAGTGAAAGAAGCTGACAGCGAGAGTCCTTTGTTGTCATTGGATTTCAAAATTGAAGCCATATAGGACAGTCATGTCATGAAAATGTTTTTGCTCTATAATTGTGTGGGGAAAAAATGCCTAATTTTGGGAAGGGATGGTTGACACTCAGGGACCCGTCACCATGCTCCAGGCTGAAGGGACACTGTGACCTTCCATGAGCATTTGCCGGGGACTCACCCCCTTCCCACTCACCCCCTTGGCGAGTGCACCGAGGTGCCCATTCCCGCCACCCCGACGCTGCGTCCACTGCTATTCCTGAGCTCACCTCGCTAGTTTGCGTCCCGAACACTCACTTCTCGTCTTCCTTTGGTCCCTTCCATGTAAGGGACGGCCTCGCCCTGCTTCATTTGCTCTGCCTTAGCCACTGTGCTCCTGCCAAGAGAGGGCTCAGTGGTCACCAGTGAGGGCTGCCCCCTCCCAGCACAGACTCTGAGTGTGACAGTCATCCAGTCACCTCCAAAGGGCTCCGCCCAAATCCTCACTCCCCAACCCCCCACCCACCTCTCACAGGTGGCGCCAGTGATGGAGGGGTCACTCTGCGGCCGTTCTCCCTGATCGCTACCTGTCCCTGTGCAGAGGGGTCACTCAGGTCACCCAGCTGTGTTCCCACCCAGCACTTACCATGCAGACAGAGTGAGCTACAATGGTCCCCCAACCCCCACTGCAGTGGACAGCCCATCCCGGGGGCAGGGAGGGCTGCCTCTCCTTGTTGCTGTCATTAAGCGTCATCCACCGAAGGTCAGTCACTTGCCTCCTCGTCTCCGTTCGGCCTGGGAGGATCTTCCCTTGCAGGCCAAGACGAGAAATTGCCCAACCACAGTAAAAATCACTCTCCGTAATCAAGAGTCTCTTTACTAATTCTCCACAAAAGGACTTTCAGGGTATAGAAATAAAACTCCATTCATGAGTTAAAAGGACACGAGGGGCTTTTATAGTGAAAGAAGCTGATAGTGAGTGAGAGTCCTTTTTTGTCACTGGATTTCAAAATTGAAGCCATACAGTACAGCCATATAGAGCAAAAATGTTTTTGCTCTATAATTGTGTGGGGAAAAAATGCCTAATTTGAGAAAAACATTAAGATCATCGATGATTGTATGTTTTGAAAGCAGCGTGTTTTTGGAATACCCTCAAAATAAGTACTTGGCGTTGAAAGTAGGCAAAGAGGCATGATAATCTTGCAGCATCTGTATCGCAAATCATAATGCCTAAAATGAGCGAGAGAAAGAGAAAGAGAGAAGAGAGTGCCTGCCCTAGAGGCAGACTGGGGTGATGGTGGCACGGGGAAGTGGGAGGGAAACTGGGGACACTGATGCTGGGAAATGACACTGGGGGGGGGGGATCGTGTTGGAACACTGTAGGACTGAAACAGAAGCATGAACGGCTTTGTAATGCTCTATCTCACGATGATTCAATAAAAATTAAAAATTAATATATATTAAAAAAAAGTACTTGGCAATGACGGCTGTCGAGGGAGAAAGCTCTCTGGTGACACGTAGCATCTCTGCCTCTGCAGTTCTAGTAAGTTCCAGCGATTCCACACCCCAAACCAAACAAACACCAACTGCCCTGCACCCAGAGAAACCACCAAAGCATGGTCAAGCAAAATATTTTTAATTAGTAGGCTGATCATAAATAAATCCACATAAAAGATTTAGCGGTAACAAAGAGTTCTGTGTTTCTTTGTGGACTCAATTCATAAAGGGTGTTAGTGAGTCAACTCCTTTCCAACTGCAACAAAGAGTTGCCAGCGCAGTGCTATTGTGTAGTTACATTTTTACATTTTCTTTACAAATGTAACATTTATGTACACTATATATATAGGTATGTATACATCGCTTGTTTCTTTTTGTTTTTTTCTCTATAGGTACTGTTCTGAAATTCCATTGTTTTTACAGGGAAAATAGTGACTTCGTTTGAAGAGTAAGAATCACTCCTTGTTAAAAAGTCGTTCGTATAAACAGAGTAACAGGGTCCCACTGCCTTTTGGCATTGCTTGTTAGACCTCAGGTTCAGAGAGATGTTCTAATAACTATAAGAAAAAGAAGCCCTCCCCCCCCCCCCCCGCCACGTCCGCCCCCACTGTGGACACAGCACTAGGTGTCGTGTGCTGCCGCCAGGGGCCCTGTGTGGCCGCACAGCCGGGACAGGGAGAGCCACGGGCTAAGATGGGAAGAACGCAGCATCCTGGGGCCAACAGGCCTCCCGCTGCCGTCTTCCTCCTCTCCTCTCAACAGAGTCTTCGATAGGCCGACAGACAGACAGACAGACAGACAGACAGACAGACAGCGATGCTTCCCCGAGTGGCCATGGGCAGCACGGCGTCTCCAAACCAAGGCCTTCCTTTCCCGTTTCTGGGGGGTTTGCTTCTCTCACAGGGCTGTGGCCCTGCTCTTCGTCATCTACCGCTTTCCACTTCACTTACAGATCTGCCGCTGGACATGGAGCAGGAACTCGTAGTAAGAGAAGGCGGCTTCGGTCCGGTCTTCAATCAGGTGTTGAAATATTTCTGTTTTGGCAGGGCTCTCATCTCTGAAATGAGGGGCGGGGGGTGGGAGGAGTCAGGAATCTTACACAAGCATGCGGTTAAAAGCAACAAAGAGGCCTTACAAATTTATTATTATAGAAGGACGTTAGGGAAAGGGACCAAGGGACTACGAGGTCATTAGCAGTGGGAAACATTTTGGCCGTGTGGTTTACAGGTGCTCTGAAGGAACCATCTGCAGCCGGCGCAGGGAAGTGCCCATCATTCAGTTGCGGGAACACTTACTTTACCACGTGCAGAATCGGGCTCAGGGGTCTGTTTTCTCTCAGCCAAGTGATAAAGGACCGGGCCCGCTCCGATGGCAGCGTGTCCAGCTCGGGGAGGTGTGTCTACGGAAATGGAGGGAAGGACGGAACATGAGTCTCAGACTTACCCACAGCACTCTGCACCCTACTCCCAGCCCTGGCGGCAGCCACCAGGCAGAATCCAAGCTGATCACCGCCTGTCTTTGCTGGCCCGGGTGACATGACAGGACCAGCACGCGGCTTAGGCTATGCCAGCACCAGCAGGCTGCACACACACACTCCCCCGAAGAATGCAACCTTTCTCTGAATTCACCCACTAAGTGCACAAGGGAACAGTTGTCCATGGCATGCATTCCACACAGAGGTCGCGCCCAGAGCAGGAAACCCAGGACAGCGCGCAGGGGTGAGGCTGACGGGGCAGGTGAGGGACACCTGGGGGGTTCTGGTCTCTTTCCCGGTGACAAGGATGGTCCAGAGTCAGGGACTTATGATGGCTGGACAACACCCTGAACATGCTACAAAGTAATGGACTGTATATGCCGGTGAAGAGGGCCACAAACGTGGAGTTTTTCTGAACAGGAAGTCTTCTGGTTTTAAAGGAAATGTCTATTTTATCAGTAAATGTTTAATCTCTATGCCCAGTTATTTACTGGTTTTGGGGAGTCCCACCAAGTGATGGTCCGGGGATAGAGGGGCTTGTGTGAGCCCCTGGCAGGCCTAGGCTCAGCCCGGCTTTCTGAACCTACTGCAGGTGCAGCTTAGGGAAACGAACAAGTACATCGAAAGTCACACGTGTGTAAAAACCCACTGACCATTTTCTGTGGTATTGACGCAAAATCGGGATAGCCAAGCACGTCCTCTATGAAGTTACTGTTGCAGCCTTTTCCAATCCAAATGTAGAAGACCTGAGGGGGAGGGGAGCCCAACAAACCATCAGTGCTCCCTGTTAGATGCCCCTTTGTTACTGCTCAGAAATGACCAAGCAGAGAAGTGTAATATTCGATCAAATAGAAACAAACCGGAGAAAGGAAAAACCCATAACTGCCCAATCTGAACACAACCAGGCATCCAGACTGGCTCTGCTCTGCTTGAAGTTCTCCAGAAAATACACTTTCCCTCCTCTGCACCTTGGACCCAACAGGAAGGGAACCCTTGCTGCTCCCCTCCTGCAAGGAGGGCCCATCTCTCCACAGAATCCTCCCACCTTCCCCTCTGGAGCTCCTTGCATTCTTTTCCTGCCCACTAGGGGTCCCTAGGAAGCCCCTGGCCAGCAACGCCCTTTCAACCAACTCCTGCCCAGGAGTTCTTGTGAGCACTGCATCAGGAATGCTGCCCCGAACCACAGGACAAGTTAAACTGCACAGAACTCCCGAGGGCCTTTTTAAATGTCATGATGACAGGTGGCAAATCCCTTGGGACAAAGCTGTGATTTCTTTCTTTGCTTCTCTGTCAGAAAATAGAATTCCTGACAATAACGTTCCTGAGAACAAAGCCGATGGAGCTGGGGTCATTGTGGAGTCTAGAATAAACCAAGCTGGGTTCCCCTGCCTTGACTGACCCCTGCTGCCCCGCCGAGGGGGCCGGGACAGGTGAGCATGCTGTGGGGATGCTTACGGAGCCACAGTCCATGAGGAAAGCCCCTTCTCGCGTCAGTCGCTCTGCAGACAGTTTCTGGAGGGGCGGCTGCGGTACCACCCTGTCATTGACGTGCACTGCGCCCTGGAGGGAAGAGGGGGAGCAGAGTGAGTCTAAAGGGGAGCAGCCAGACCCCCTCACCTGGCCAGGCCCGGGAGGATCTCTCGGGCTGCAAAATATTACTGAAAATATGTCACCCTCCTTGGCTGAACACTGAAGTCAAGACACTATATATTTTTCAGTGGGGGAGAGCACACCCCAGCAGTGCTCAAGGCTGACTCCTGGTTCTGCACTCAGGAATCAGTCCTGGTGGTGCTTAGGGGGCCATAGGGGATGCCTGGGATCGAACCTGGGTCGGCCACATGCCAGGCAAATGCCTACCTGCTATATTATTGCTCTGGTCTCAAGACACTAAATTTTTTTTTTTTTTTTTTTTTTGCTTTTTGGGTCACACCCAGTGATGCTTAGGGGTCACTCCTGGCTCTGCACTCAGGAATTATTCTTGGCGGTGCTCAGGGGAGCATGTGGGATGCTGGGAATCAAACCCGGGTCAGCAGTGTGCAAGACAAACGCCCTCCCCGCTGTACTATCACTCTGGCCTCGAAACACTGAAATGTTTTGAAGTTTAAAACGTAGCCCGTGAAAACAGAAAATGATCTGTCAATTTTCTTCTCTTTGGAAATCTGAATACATCAAAATACGACTATTTGGTATATTTCTCAGTAACATGGCACAGACAAGACTCCAAGAAGGAAAGCTGAAACACGGGAAAGAGACTAAGACACACATCTATGTTGCACACGCTAAGGGCGGAGCCTGTGTTTTGCACGCTCCAGTCCTGAGTTCAGTCCCTGGCCACCCGCAGTCGCTCGAGCACTTCCAGGAGCACTCCCTGCACTGCCCGCATGGTACAGAGACCTGCAGGAGAGACTCCGTGGGTAGCAGATCTGGTTTACCCTGTGACCAAAACTGCACCATAATCAGATCAGGAGCAGTCGACGTGGATGGGACACAAATGGGAACATCCGCGCTGCCTTTGGCTTTGTAAGAGGGCAATGAGCAGGTGAAAGGGATGGCTTCTTGCAGGAAGCTGCTTTGTGAGGGTGCCAGGACCTGGCTGAGGGCGGGTACCCGCAGGAAACATAGGCAGGCGCCCGCCCCTGAACTCCCCAGGAGTCTCGGCCTGCCTCATCTCTGATGGGCCCACAGCCCACCAAAGGCAGCTGACACAGGGAGACAACGGATGTAAACACTGTTAGAATCAATCTCCTCGCGTGGATTCCGGCGCGCCGGGGAGAACCGCACCTCGTCCGTGAGCCTGTCGATGCGATACAGGTTGGGGTGGATCATCTTCATGAGGTGGGTGAGGGGCTGACACTTGATCTGGCACATGGCGTACACCCGGTCATCCAGACGTGTGCTCGTGCCCGTTCGAAAGGCTTTCTGTGTGGAAAAGGAGATAAGCTGCAGCAAGACTGAGGACCAGAGGGAACGTCTGAAACCCGCCCGCGGAACAGGCAGTCAGGGATGGACGGCGCCTTCCAACAGGACAGGACTGGGCTCGGGCCTCAGGCTTGACCCTAACAGGCAGGAGGAAAGTTACTTAATTTCTGAAAGCTCTGTGGCCAGGAAAGGCAGGGAAAAACCAAACTTCTTAGGGAGGTGGCTGGGGTTCAGTGGGACGCTGGGCCCGTGACACTTGCTGCGGCCCTGAGCCCTGGGGACACGTAGGAGTGGTCACTGGGTCCTAAACCTCTTTCCGGAAGCATCTCTGGATAGCCAATGGCCCTCAGAACAGACTGGGAGTGCCCGGTGGCCCCCAGTCTGTCCCGGTTGCTCCAACCCTTCCTTCCCCCCCAGCCTAGACTTGTCTGCTCCACTGCGTCTCCCTGGACCCCGGGTAGGCCTACCTGCTTGAGGAGGGCCAGGACGTAGAGGGGGAAGAGCTTGAGGGAGTTGGGCGCCATGAGGGCAGAGCGCTGCAGGTGCGCAGCCGAGGTGCCATAGGCCGACAGCGAATCCACCACAGCGTTCACTAAGGCGTCCCGGGCATCTGACAGGCTCGACGACACGGACCGGTCCACAGCTACGCCACAGCCAGGGGGAAAATGGTACTTAGTGCTCAGAGTCCCGGAGACAGGCGGGCAGACGCAGTGTCTGTGCTCAGGAGGCCAACAGACACTCCATCTCTATGACAGAAGATACGCTTCACCAGTACCCATTTTTTTTTTTGCTTTTGTTTGGGGGCGGGTGTCTCACACTCAGCGATGCACAGGGGTTACTCCTGCACTCGGGAACTACTCTTGGCGGTGCTTGGGAACCCTATGGGATGCCAGATATCAAACCCGGGTCAGGCCCATGCAAGGCAAATGCCCTACCCTCTGTGCTATCACTTCGGCCCCAGTCTCTTCATTTTTAAAGTACCTGCTCAGAACACAATTCTGAACTAAATTTAAAAATCAGAACTTCTAGATAACAAATATGCTACACACAATCCCCCCACCGCCACCGCCGCCCCATATATATAGTGGGGAGGGTTTGTGCATAGTGGTGCTCCTGGGACTACAAAAGGTGCCAGGGATCCAATTTGGGACCCTGGGGCCAGCAGCATGCAAAGCAAGTACCCTCCCCCCTGCCCCATATCCACAGGCTTTTAATCTCCCTTAGGAGTAACCAACACAACCTACTGACACTGGAGAATATAAAACCCACGTACCTCTGAGAAAGCTTGGGCTGTTTATACTATTCGAACACAAGTCACACAACTAAGGATCATTCTTTTTTTTTTTTTTTCTGCACAAACCATATAAATTCTGTAATCTGAATGATCCCTTGTGATGCTCTGAAATCATTGCCAAACATACTCCTAGACCAGCAAAGGAAGAGGCCCCAAAGGCCTAGGGAGACAGCGTCAGATTAAGGCTTGTCTTGCATGCAGTTGGCCTGGCATTGCAAATGTTCCCCTGAGCACTGCCAGATGGCCCCTGAGCACCGCTAGGTGTGGCCTGCCCTGTCCCCGACAGAAGTGGGAAAACTGAACACAGGAGTTTGTATGAGGAGCTGTACATTCAATATGAAAGCATACTGCACTAGAATAGAGATTTTTTAAAATGAAAATATCCAATAAAAATTGCGTTTTAATAATATTTTTCAAACATTATAAAATTCAGTCATTATACTTGAAATATTGATATAAAATAATCACACAGTGGGGCCCAGAGCAGCAGTACAGTGGTTAGGACATTTGTCTTGCATACAGCCAAACGGGGTCTGAATCCCAGCACTCCATTTGGTCCCTGAGCCCTGCTAGGAATCATTCCTGAGCACAGAGCCAAGAGTAACCTTTGAGCACTTGCCAGATGTGGCAAAAAAAAACCAAAAACAAGAACAAAAAAATATCTAAAAATGGGAACCCCTTAATAAATGCTATAATAACTCCCTCCCAAATGAGTAATACAGATCTTTTTTTCAGGATATGAACTATGGTTTCATTGACTGTCTAAATTTAACAACAACAATCTACTATGTTCTACTAATTCCCCAAAGGATTTTCTTTTTAAATTTTGGGTTATTTTCCTTTGGGTATTAGAGCTACACCTGGCAGTGCTCAGAGACCATAAATGATGCTGGGGTCAAACTGGGTCCAGCTGCATGCAATATAACTGTCTTTACCCCCTGAATTATCTTTATGGCCCCTAGAATATATACTTCTTAGATTTTTGGCTTTTTGGTTCACACCTCACGATGCCCAGGGTTTACTCCTGGCTCTGCACTCAGAAATTACTCCTGGCAGTGCTCAGGGGATCATACGAAATGCTGGGGATCAAACCTGGGCTGGCTGTGTCCAAGGCAAGTGCACTACCTGCTGTACTATTGCTCCATCTCCGAATATATACTTTTAAACTACAGAACTTTTAAAATAAAAATATACCCAGTCTTCAGCTCTTTCTTTCTTTTTGGCTTTTTGGGCGACACCCACCAATGCACAGGGGTTCCTCCTGGCTCTGCACTCAGGAATCTCTCCTGGTGGTGCTCAGGGGGCGATAGGGGACACTGGGGATTGAACCCAGGTCGGTTGAGTGCCAGGCAAACACCCTCCCTGCTGTGCTATAGCTCCGGCCCCGCCAAGCTTCAGTTTCTCTGATAGTAAAGACCCTTCCTGGCCCTGCCCTTCCCGCTCACCCATATTTGCCAGCAGGCAGATGGCCGCTTGCACATCCACGCCGGCGTACACATCGGACAGCGAGCTCACCACCGGCAGGCAGAGCGTGTGCACGCGTATCCTTCGCTCTCCTAAATGAAACAGAAAGAAAAGTCACTGCACACACACTGGACACAGGAGGAACAGGCTCACAGCAGTACCGCATGGCACCGACTCGGAACTTAGAAAAACTGAGTTCTACAAGGAAAGCGTCTTACAGAAACCTGCCTCCCCCTTGGGCGCAGGCGTGAAACGCGGAGCTTGTGTGCATGAGCGTCTGCCTGGCACACAGGGCTGCAGATGCCAAGGGCTGGTCCCAAGGGCTGTGCAGAACTTTAGGGGGCAAGAAATACGGCTGAGGGTGACAGGGAAGCGCTTCACATGAGCTCTTTATCAGAAACACGTGACCCCAGGAATACAGGGCTCCCACCCATTAGAAAGGTAGTATTTAGTGACTTAAAAAATGAAGAAGAGCCCGAGAGACAGCTCAGCTGGCTGGAGACATACCTCAGGTGAAGAGGCACAGGGCACAGCCCCCAGCACCCCCCTAATGTGTTCCACAAGAACATGTCTACACATCTTAGAAGGCAGCTGATCTTGATCAAAAAAACAAAACAAGAGGCTGGAGCGATAGCACAGAGGGTAGGGAATTTGGCTTGCACATGGCAGACCCGGGTTTGAGTCCCAGCATTCCATATGGTCCCCTGAGCACCACCAGGAGTCATTCCTGAGTGCAGAGTCAGGAGTAACCCCTGAGCATTGCCGGCTGTGACCCAAAAAGCAATATATATATATATATATATATATATATATATATATATACACACACACAAATATATTTATATATATACTAATATATATATTAGCACACAAGGTCCAACAAGTAACAACATGTTAGTGATCTCTTATACAGGGGCTTAATGCCTCTTGGGTGAGATACAACAACTTTCATACATTTTCCCTTAGGAAACCTCTTTGAATGATTTTTTTTAAGGGATTGTTCATAATAAGCACTGCGGCACTGTAGCACTGTCTGACCACTGGTTCACCGATTTGCTCGAGTGGGCCCAGTAACATCTCCATTGTGAGACTTGTTGTTACTGTGTTTGGCATATCGAATATGTCACGGGGAGCTTGCCAGGCTCTGCCGTGCGGGCGAGATAATCTCGGTAGCTTGCTGGGCTCTCCAAGAGAGGCGGAGGAATTGAATCTGGATCCGTTGGGTCGGCCACATGCCAGGCAAACGCCCTACCACTGTGCTATCACTCCAGCCCTCATAACAAGCAATACAAAATAATTTATTTAGGACCTGCCTTTGGGGTGGGCTTGAGTGGTGGTGGGAAAATTTGAATTAACAGCGGTGGGAAGGTGTAATGGTGGCGGGACTTGGTGCTGGGATGTTGAATGTAATAACTTATTGTGAACAACTTTCTAAAGAGAAAAATTTTTTTTAAAAAATAACGCAGAATAAACATCCATTTGATTAACTAATGCAAGTCCGCGTCGTCCCCGGCAATGAGAACGGAAGGGCAATGAGGCCGTGGGTCCCCCTCCCTCGGTGCCGGCAGTACCTCTGCTTGACGTGTATAGCAGCGCGGTCTGAAAGCACGCCAAGGAGGTGTCCGCCAGGCTCTCCTCGATGGACAGCTGGACGGCGAATCCGGCATCCGGGTTGATGTTGGCGAGGGACAGCAAGTCGGTGGAGCGGACAAAGAAGTTCCCGTGGAAAGTGTGCATGGAAAGACCTGGGGGACAGACACCCTGTCAGGGAGGACGGGCCAGGAAGAGTGCCCCTCTCCGGTGAGATCTACTCCCCCGTGAGCAGGGAGGGGAGTCAACTGATATTCTACAATACCAATGCAGAAGACAGCACTTGCACTGACAACCTTGTAAGAATGTCCTATTTGTATCACTTCAAGTGAGAAAAAGGCCTAATGTACGGGACTAAACAAGAAGGACCAGTGTACAACTTGTTCTACAAACTGATGTCAGAATCCCGAGGCGAAATCCCAACGTGAAACCTGGTAAATAGTAAAAACTAAAGACGATCTGCAATATTATGTAGAGAAAGATCATGGATTTGGCAATTCTCACCTAAGGTCTTTTTTATTCCAGGGCCAGAGCGACAGCCCAGTGGAAGGATGTCTGCCTTGCAGATGACTGACCTGGGCTGGGTACCCAGCATACTCCACAGTCCCTGATCCCTGCCAGAAATGATCCCTGAGTACAGAGCCAGGAGTTAAGCCCTGAGCCTCTAGGTGTGGGCCCTCCAAACACACAAAAAACCCCAATCAAATTATCTCTCTCTCTCTTTCCTATTCATCTAATTTTCACCCTTAAAACCACCTCCAATACAGGTTTTCACTTAAGTTCTTCCTACTAAAATAACATTGTTGTCCAGTTACGCAAATTACTTAACAAAAATTATGCAATGATTGTCCAACAGAACAGGTGTGGGCAAGCTGCTGCATGAGACAGATGGGCTTTGTGCTGGACACCCTTGGTAAGTCAGCCCTGGTGGCCTGGTATAATTCGTATATATTGGTATATTTGTTATAATTCTTATACCAAAGTGCACTAAGAAGCATCACCTTTACAATTTCCTACCTTTCGTGCACCTGATTCTCATCACAGCTTCAAATCCGATTTTCCTCGTGAGGTATCGTTTGAGGTCCTTCTGCAGCTTCTCTGCTTGTGGAGCATTGTGAGTACAGTGGAAAGATGGATAATAGTAGATGCACCCTGCAGAGTACTTGGATATACAGGCTTCGGGGAGAGACAGGGAGATCGTTAACTGAGGACCCATAACAGGGAGCTTCTCTATTACGAGGAAATCTAAGTCCCGGGGAGGAAACTTAAGCTGTAGCAATAAAGACAGCAGGTACATCTGAGAAATGACAAACATTCGGAAAGCAGACCGCAAGGCACTTTACTGGGGAGCCAGGGCAAGGGAATATTTTAAAAACAAAACAGCAAGAACAATGTTGTCTGTCCACCGACTTGCTGTCCCTCGCCAACATCAACCCGGACGCCGGATTCGCCATCCAGCTGTCCATTGATTGTCAGATATAATCTCATTCCCACGCTTCCCCCTCCCCCAATATGGCAAACTCTTAAAGAGAGTTCAGACATGACTAGGTGCTGAGAAATGGTCGTGAGAACAGTCAAACGCTGGAAATCCTTACCTAGAGACGCGAGATCAGAATACTGTGAACTCAAAAGGAACAGGTCCACCGCAGTCTGCTGCCCCGAGCAATCTAAAGCGAGTTTCTTATAAAAGTCAGTCGCAGGGCCAAGATGTTGCACAACCTAAGCCAACAGGTCGTAGAATAAGAGCTGGAAGCCTTGAATTATGCACGATATTTCTACATTTCTCTCACAGGTAGGAAGAGGGTACCCGTTAGCCCCTATGTTAAACTAAGGACTTTATAAAAAAAAAAGTCTAGGCAGATGGCCTAAGATGAACCACTGCAGACACATAAAGCATTTATCTGCCAGCACTTGAGATATTTCACAGAAACTATTAACTCTTGTCATCACACCTATGTTGAGTTCTCCACACTACACAGATGAGGAAACTGAATCAAATGAAAAGGAAACGTGACTGTGAGACTGAGTCGTGGATGCAGAAACAAAAGCCAAGAATGCTGGCCGCAGGCCAGGAACTTGGCCAGACTCACTGACTGTTACCGAATGGTGAAGGGACCGTCTGTGGAAGGTCTTTCCTGACCAGTATGAGGACACTTGAGTTGCCAAGATGGCCTTGGGAAGAGGCCAGTGGAGAGATGCTGGCCTTGCACATGGCCAAGTCAGGATCAACCTCGGCCTCTCATATGGTCCTCCTGAGAACCGCCAGGAGTAGCCCTGAGTGCAGAGAGCACTGGGGCGTGGTCTCCTCCAAAAACCCAAAGCCAAACAAACAAAAAAGCCCCCAGAGGTGCAGTGAGCACCGCCACTCCATGAGTGACTCCCAAGCAGGAACCAGGGCAAGGCCCAGAACACTGCCCAATCACACCCCCACAACTCCCACCCCACCCCAACGGGGAGTGTGGTTCAGGGGCAGAACACAGGATTCCCTTCAGACACAGGTCTGAAACCCTGGGTTTGATCCTGAAACACCAAGAAAAGACAAAATGAAAAAGCAAGAGAATGTTCCGGATGCTAAGCACCGCGCTCCACTGCCCAGAGTCTACTCACAGATGAGAGAGTCTGCCAGCTAGAACAGGGTTCGTTCAAGCTGTGAGGCCCCAGCAGACAGAATGATACTTCTGGAAGTTCAATGAGAAAAGCCAAAACTGTCTTAAAGAATCCATTAGCTCACTCGGCTCAGCCTCCATGGAGACTCCAGGGACCAGCAGTAGGGCTCAAAAGGTGCACAGACTGACTGACTTTTAAAATGGTTATTTTGAAATACTTGTCCTAATCATTCTGTAATTAGCTTCTTTCTCAAAGACAATTTAAAACGTTTTGTTTTGTGGCACTGCTCAGGGGTTACTCCTACATTTTTCAAAAACACTTTTAAAAAGTAAAATATTTCTCGAGCGAACTGATGTGGAGCAAAACAGGAACAGTACTTGATGATGACTCCCTACAAGAGACCAATTCAAAACCACAATAAAAACATCAGTAACAAAACAAAAGGTACACGTTGATACAAACTTTTTAGTTCAAGGAATTTACCCTAAAAACAAAAAACAAAAACCACCTGAATAGTGGATAAAGATTTATGACACTATTTAAACTAGTTTTACTGGCATTTCCTCATATATAAGTTGAAGTCAGACTAACTCCTAAGAGCCAAATGACTGTTCTAAGTTGTTTGTAATTTAAAATATGGGGGCCGGACTGGAGCCATTGTCCATCTTGTTGAGCGTTTGCCTCGCATGTGGCTGACCTGAGTTTGATTCCCCCCCACCCCCCACACACACCCCCCACCTGGTCCCCCAGTACCACCAGGAGTCATTCCTAAAAGCAGAGCCAGGAGTGAGCCCTGAGCATTGCCTAGTGTGGACCCCAAACCAAAAAATAAATCAAACAGGAATCACAATACTTGGACCGAACCTACATACTGAAGGCGCCCCCTAGGAAACGGCTTCAGGAGTCAAGGCCCTCACCTTGCAGGAGGCTGAGCCCCGCGCGACACGTAGGGCTGTCAGGCTAGGAGCCCCACCGTGGAAGGGCCAGGCCTCGGATTGAAGGTGCTGGGGGGACCTTCCGTAGGGCCACAGCCAATTGGAACCAGGCTTTGCAGGGACAAAAGGCGAGCACTGTGACCCCAAATGACCTCCCCGGCCCTTCACTGGTTCTTAAAAGTAATGTGCTACAATCTGACATTGTTGGTCAAAATCGCTTGGCCTATCTGTGCAGGGGCAAGGGGAGGCGTCCCCAGGCAAACTCGGGTTACTCCCACTGGGAGGGGTAGGGAGCAGAGTCGGCCCCTTGCCCACTCTCCTCACCTGGTGCAACCCTTTTTCTGTTACAGTGAAAATACTGGGGACAACAACTCAGCAGTCAGGAGGCCAGCAAGATGCTCAATTATGCTCAAGGACAGAACTTTCCTATGTCCTAAACAGTATTTTTTAAAAAGGATTTTTTAGGAATTTCAGAAAATGTTTATACTCATTTAAAAAGGGCAATTAAAAACTCTAGTACAAATATTCACAATGCCCAATTATGCCTCCTTGTATGCAAAACCTCATGCTGCCGTCTAGGAAAACTGATGATGTATATGAATTTGTGGGCGGGAGAAACAGTAGAGTGCGAAGGGCGCTTGCCTTGCATGCAGCTGACCCAGGGTTCAGCCCTCAGTACCCCGTATGGCCTCAAAGCCCATTAGGAGTGATCCCTGAGCACAGAGCCTGGAGCAGCACCAGGTGGGCCCAAAAAACAAAAAAAGAAAAGAGAGAAAAACACTTTCTCTCCTTAAATGTCATACAATGATTTATTACCACTGTAATGAATACGTTTTGCCAGCACGAGGACTTTCCTTTAAACCCTGTCCTAGATCCTAGATATCAGTGCTCGTGCTACAGGAAATAGCACCGGGTCGGAGCAGTTCCCGCGCTGCAGTTATGTAACTGCTGAGGAAAGCTTCTGTTCCCTGATCTGTAAAATGCACGAGCTCAAGTAAACGATTTCTAGCTATCTGAGTCGCAGACTATGTAATAACAAAAGGCACACCGCCCAACATCCCAACAGGAAGACAGCGTGACATCAAAACGGAAAGGGAACTGCAGTTCTCAACTGGGCGGAGCAGAAGCACAGACGTCATACCTTGGTGCTGGACCGCTGGTTTGGGTCCTCCCGGGACTGCAGCAGGCCAGCGCCCAGAGAGGGAAGCTGCGTCTGGAACACAGACACGCGGCCGCCAGTGGCCGCCATCAGCTTACAGGCTGCCTGCAGCGCAGGCCCCAGAGCGCTGTGCGTCTCCCGCGTCTGGGTGAACATGCCCGGCAGCACGGTTAGCAAGTCTCTGATCAGCTGCAGAGACAGGAAAATGTTGAATCAGTGAAAGGCACGGCCTGTCCACACACATGCTGGGGCGCGGCAGGTGTCATGGGATGGGGCGTTCGTGTGTGCGCTGGTCACGCGCGCAGTGGTGGGGGGGAGGGGACGGCACAGCCAGTGCTCAGACAGAAACCAAGTCTCACCCCCGGACTTTCACAGAGATTCCCGGAAACGGGTACTTTAGGGCACAGTTGGTTTAACAGAACGAATTAGAAGAGGGCATCTCACCTCTTTACTTTCGCAGAGATTCACAAGCAAGCTATCCGGTGTAGGCAGAAAAACATCTATGGGGAAGCATGTTTTAATCAAAATGTAAATCAAGTCAAAAGAATACATTTTGTTAAATTGATCTTTTTCAAGCTTTTTCTAAAATTGAATCAATGTGAGACAGACCCTTACAAAGCTGTTCATGATTAGGTTTCAGGCATACAGTGTTCCAGCACCCATCCCTCCACCAGTGTCCCCAGGTTCCCTCCCGTCACCCCTAATCCCCTGCCTTCCTCTAAGGCAGGCGCTTTCTTTCCCTCCCTCCCTCCCTCCTCTCTCCCTCTCTCCTCCCTCTCCCTCTCCCACCTCTCTCTCTCTCTCTCTCTCTCTCTCTCTCTCTCTCTCTCATGCGCGCGTGCCCCCTCCTGGGCGTTGTAGTTTGCAATATACATACTGAAAGGTTATCATATATATATCCCTTTACCTACTTTTAACCCTCAGTTCTTGTCCAGAATAAATTTGTTCAACCTGTGGGCTTGGGGGAGGCTGGAGAGTTTTTGAGAGTTTGCCTTTCACACAAACACCTGGGGGGTCATTGCCGGGCACCCCTTCAGGTCCCCCGAGCCCAGCGAACAGGAGTCCCTGAGCACAGAGTCGAGGGGGCTTACTCCGGAGCACCAACGGGGATGCCCCCCCCCCCCCCAGAAAACAGGCACCAAAAAAAGCCCTTAGTTTTTATAAAACCAGACAGGGAGTGTGTTGCACCCCACTGCTTTCCTGCGTCCCTCCCGCCGGAAACACACTCTGCTTCAACAAGGCTGAGTTTGACTCCAGCACAGCTGGACCGCTGAGCACCTCCAGAAGTGACCACTGAGCACTGGGTTACAAGTCCACCCTGGGCACCACCAGATACGATCCCCAAAACACCCCAAATACATACCTTATTATAAGCATGTCCATGCACATACAATTACATATACAGGTATAAGAAATTAAAGTAAAATAACAGACTTTGCAGAAAAATTATTTTCTGTTTTTGAGCTATCTCGGGTGTTACTCATGGCCACTCCTGGCTGGGAGCACAGGGGTCACCTCCAGGGGTACTCTATGGACCTCGAGGTCCTGGGGCATCCGGTCCATACCTTGGGTGTAAAGCATGCGTTCTGTTCCCTTCCAGTCCCCAAAACAATGATTTTACAACAAACATGAAAGTTCGCCCGACTATCATGATAATATTTTGACAAGTTGCATTGTAAAGTTAAGCAGTCTCACTCCCACATCTGTTGTTAGAAAGACTTAGTATATTTATCGCTTACCCTCTATATCCGATACTATCAACATCTGAGGCTGTGATAAGCCTTCTTGTAGATTGTAGAAATGAATTGTGCTATCAAATGTCATGAATCCTATTCTTGTTCGTGAATCTCCAGGAAGCCTAAAGATAAAAATGACAATTCTAAATTCAAAGTGCTCAGAATCTTATCAGGAAAAAAAAAAGCAATAAATTTAGTGGAAGCATCATTACATCTGCATCTCTAGAGAGCATTTTTTCTACCTGAAAAAAAAAATTACATATCTGAAAGAGAAAAGCAAAGATGAGATATTCCAGAGAAATCACTGGCATGTTTTGAGTTCATACTTCAGAAAACTAAACTATGTATTTTTAAAAAGTCAAAACTTAGAAATAAGAATGAACATTTCAAATGTATTCTTTTGACTTGATTTACATTTTGATTAAAACATGTTTTCCCATAGATGTTTTTCTGCCTACACCGGATAGCTTGCTTGTGAATCTCTGAGAAATAAATAACTTTTCTTTGAAGTCCCTGTGTTTGGGTGTTGTGTGTGTGTGCTGCCAGGGACAGACCCAATGCTCAATAAACATATTTCTTTTCCTTTTTTTTTCTTTATTAAGGGAGAAAATTTGTAATTTGTCTTTGTCATACTATGTTTTTTTCTTTTTGGGTCACACCCGGCGATGCTCCAGGGTTACTCCTGGCACTGCACTCAGGAATTACTCCTGGCAGTGCTCGGGGACCATATGGGATGCTGGGGATTGAACCCAGGTCGGCTGTGTGCAGGGCAAATGCCCTATCTGCTGTACTATTACTCCGGCCCCTAACATATTTCTTTCAAGGAAAAGAGGGGCTAATTTTCAGTTAAATATTATTTAAAAAAATGTATCTGATTAAAAACAAACAAACAAACAAACAAATGTGTTTAAAGCTCTCCCAGCCCTGAGGTGCTCAGGGGTCTGGGGGTGTGGTGGCTCAGGCCCCATGCTCAAGGTCTATCATGGATCCCCCATGAATCCTGCGGCCTCCAGGCTGCACCCAGAGATGCTTGGGGGGCTGGTAAGGTGAGGGTCAGACAATTCCAGTGCCCCGTCCACTCGGCATTATCTTTACCCATCCTGAGCACAGGCTGCCCAGGTCACGGCCTCACAGCAAGAAGCTTGGTCAGCATGGAGCCTGACTGCCGACTTCACTCATTTAGCTGCTGCCAGGTCCCCAGCACTGCCAGGAGCAGAGGCAGCACTTCCGCTAACCAACTCCGGTCAAGAGTCAGGAGTTTCTGCAGATGAACACACACCTCACAGGGATCTGACCTTCCTTCTTTGTCATTTGGGGCCATAACTGAAAGTGCTCAGGAGTGACCCAGTCATGGAACGGTAGGTGAAGCCAGGGACCGAACCAGGGTGAGGCAAGGTGAGCGTCCAACCTCCTGTACTATGATGACCGCTGTGAGTTCCAGGGTCACTTGCTAGTGGTGAGAGTGGGGAAAGGCCAGCTCTGCCCCACGCCTGACACAGAGCTGAGCCAAAATTGCTCCATTGTCAAATCCCTTTCTCGCTTCGGTTTTGAATTCTACCTCCTGGCAGTGCTCAGAGGACCACACAGTGCCAAGAATCAGTCCCAGGCCTCCTGCATGCCAAGCATGCACTCAAATCACTGGGCTATCTCCTTGGCCCTTCAAATTCTTCTGTCATTTGCATAGCCATTCTCCAAAATGCTCTATGATTGCCATCCTAGTCTCTTTTTGTTTCTTTCTGAGCCACACCGGGTGGTGCTTAGGCCTCACTCCTGGTGGGGCTCAGGGGACCATGTGGAGTGTTGGGGATCGAACCCAGGTCAGCGAACCCAGGTTCAAGGGCCAGGTAAGCCCTCCCCGCTGTACTGTGTCTCTGGTCCCTTAACATCTCTTGTTTCTGTGTCACTGACGCGTGTATTTCTGACTCTTGACTGGATGTCTGTGTTTACCGTCCCTCCTTCCATGCTGGAGTGGGTCCTGCTCCTAGGACTCTGCCTTCCTATTCCTACAGTCCCCAACTTCTCAGTGTCACGAGAATTTCTCGATACACTGTAGACCCCTGCCCCTTGTCACTTACGCTGTATCTCGAATAAACAACGGTTGCTCTAACTGAGTACAAAAGCCTGAAAACTCTACGTTACAAACAGAAACGAAGGCAAACCTTTACTACTGCTGGTTGCTTTTTATTGACAGATAATGACCAGTAACAAGCAGACTGCAGGGACTAGGCATGTGCTCTGAGAAGATGGGAAGAACCTTCTGGAACCACCAGTGCACCTGACATGCCCACCTACCTCAGGGCCTTGGGGCATACCAGGAACACCAGCCCTGACACCACCCACCTCCGTCATGTCTCTTGGGGTGCTGGAGTCAAAGAAATGGGCATGCAACCTTGTCTTCCAGAGAACTGGAAGGTTCCATCTGTTCTGTTTGCTCTGGAGAGGCCACTCCCTTTAGTGCTCAGGGGCCACGTGGGATTTGGGGATTGAAGCGAAGGTCACAAAGTCTGGACAAGGCCAACGTTAGTGCCCAACGGACCATACCCAGAAAGGCAGTTCCAATGGCAGCTGAAGGTCCCCATCACTCTCCTGGCAGACACCAGGGTGGAATTCCAGGCAACTATCAGCCGATTCCTCAGTGTATCCCGACTGACTCAGTGTCCTGTTTCTTGAAGTGCCAGCCCGAAAACCAATTCCCACACGCACATTCGTCAGGCTCAGTCTCTTACTAACATAATTTAACACTGTCTCTGGAAGAGCCGCCTTGCTCAGGCATCAGTGAGAGTCCACGCTCTTTCCCGGAGACCTCCGAGGTCCCGACCCTGTCGGGAGCTCTGTGGATGAGCTCAGAGCCATCGCTGAGTGTCAAAACTCGAGAGACTCAGATGCTACACCATGGGCCATAATAGGCCAAACAGAAGGAGCCTGAGGGTAACGGGGACAGGAAGTACTTTCAGCTCAGAGGTAAATGAAATCAAACTGAACCATATAATTAGTACTTGACACTTTCATACAATTAACAAGCACACACTATACAATGAGAAAAAAAATAATCCCTTACTTGTCCAGGTTCTCTAAGAGTGACTGGCATAAAACCGCCAGGTACCCGGCCTCCACGGCGTTGTGCGACACATCTAGGACGAACAGGTACACGGCAGGCTGCGGGGGACGGAGCTAAAGGAGCAGAGAGAAGCGCATGATCGCATGGCAAACTCACCCTCCTCGCGGAGGCCCTTTGGAACTCCCGGTCAGTCACCCAGGTGTGTGATTGGAAAAGCACATAAGAGGGGAGGTCAGAGATGCTCAGGAGGAAGCATCTCGGGGACGCTTCTCACGTGTGCTTGGCTGTGCACGAGACTCTTTACAGGAATGGATAAGCGGGGAGGTGCCTTGCACAGAAACACCAGCCTTCTAAGACACTGACTATCAACTTTTAGATTCCCCTCCCCACTAAGCACATCTTTTATCAATGAGGGGGACACAAGACTCAGAGGTGGCTGGTGGTTACCTACATGACACCTGGTGCCATCCCAGGGGCCACTCAGGACCTGGGGCTGCCACTCCTCTGTGGAGAATCAGTCCCGGCACCTCCACAACCCCCACACCCCCAGACAGGGCTTAAATTTGTTTCTAGTTTGGGGGCCACATGACAGGGTGTTCAGGGGGCACTCCTGGCTCTTCACTCATGAATCAGTCCTGGTGGTGCTCAGGGGACTATCCGGGACCCAGAACCTGGGTCGGCCACGTGCAAGGCAAATGCCCGCCCTGCTGTATGATCACTCTGGGCCTCTAGATTTATTTTTAAAGCATGATATGAGCACTTGCTACTGGGCAACTTGATGGTGCCTGAATCCCAGAAGCGTAGGAAGTGCCGGGAACAGTTACCCAGAGCCCGAGTCCTGCCTCTCTGCCATGCAGCTTCCCCAGGAGGACTCTGGGTCAGCACTTGAGAAACTCTAGGCTGGAGGGGACAGATGTGGGAAATCTTTAGCTGACCACCGAAGTCTGGTAAAGGGTAAATAAGGGTTCCATACACTATCTTCTCTGTTTCGAAGGATACCAAAACATGATTATTCAAGAAGGACAAAGGGACACAAATGTCTTCCTTTAAAATATGCCAACAAAATACCATAGGGGTGTTCCAGCAAAAGCCACAGGTTACCTCTCGCTTTGTTATTCCAATCAAATTAAGAGTTCCAAGAAGCCAGAGGGTTTAAGAACCCAAGCCAGTGGAACAGAAAACAAGCTGGAGGTACAAACGGCAAAATGTTGTTTATAGTAATTAAGATGTAAATAGATAAGAAAATGGAAGTGATCAGACACTAAATTTGACACAAGAGGTCTTAAAAATGGCAAAAATTAATGAATTGGCCAAGTGTTAGGGATTTACACGAGTAGCAACACTTTAATGAAGAAACAAAAGAAAAGTGGCTTATTATAAAAATATGTAAGATGAGTATATACGAAAGAAAAGATGAACAGAACTTAAGGCCAACATTCCACTTTTGTAGAAAATGATGGACATGGTCTGAAGGCACGGTAATTAAAGAACGGGCAGAATTTTATGACTGAAATGAACCAAGAAAAGTGAGGTCAGTGTCCGTTTATCAAACTCTCTGCCCTGGTTGACCCATTAAGACAGCACCGGTGTGAAGAGTTTAGGACTGTAGCTTTGAGCCAAACATGACTTTGTTTAAGGGTCTGAAGACAGTAAATGCTGAAAGAACATTCACAGTCAGTGCATTACATAAAATAGCAACAAGTTGAAATGGTGCTCATTGTTAAGCTATTACTAAAATTTTTAACGTTAATATTAGTTTACATTTATTTATTTGGTGCCAAATATTAGCCTGACCCCCCAGACGTATAAAGTGTACACGCTACTTCAGTGCCACACCAAGGCCGCATTTCACGTCTCTCACGGACAGGATACCCTTTCTCTAGAGAATCAAGTAACATATAGAGTTTGCTAATTTGATCATTTTCACCATTAAATTGTTTGTAAAAACTTCATACTATGGACAACTTCAAAATGTGTATAAGAATTCCCTTAACAACAAAATACAGGTGACCACTACAATTTGTATTCCGTGACGAGTTTAACAGGGAACAGTTACCATGTAGTCTGAGGAAGCAATGAACTCCACCGTTGCGTTCTGGACTTCCGGCCGCTTATGAGGCTCTCCGTAAGACCGGGTGAGAGGGTTATACATAAATTCTTCGGGAACTAGATGAGAATCAGGAATTTAGCATAAAATCAATAACAAATGGTAACTAACACATATTTGCCATAAATACCAACAAAGACATGTCTCTATCACCAATGGTTTTATGAAGTTTTAGACAGTTTTGAGAATATCTGGCGGTTAAAAACTAATTCTTTAAAAGTCCACCTTAAATAATACACCAGTAACACAACAATAAATAATGACATATTTTCTCAAATCAGATGAGGAAAGCAAGACACTAGTACCTTACTTCTGGGGATTCTGGCATCTTTATCAAGCTACAGAGAACACACAAGACCCCAGAGACAGAAATCAGAAGGGGATTCTAGTATGAGGGCTCAAGAAATGTGAACAAGGGCCCCAGACGGACACAGGCAGGTGTGTCCACCTGAGGGAAACAAAGCTGACAGGCGCAGGGAGGAGGCAGTGAGGGTCAAGCAGAGCCATGTGGGAAATCACATATGTGTTTCATGACTCGCATTCGATTTTGGCTTTCGGGCCCCATACAACAGTGTTCAGCGGCCATTCCTGGCTCAGTGCTCGGGGAGCTGGATAGGAGAGCCTACCCGGCCCTTGGGGAGGATTTGCCCTGGCTCCCTCTCTCGCTCATGATGCCAATCAGCCCCCAGAACAGATAACTGCAGGCACGCCCTATGAGAGGTGGGCCCGAGGGGGCGGGCAGACCCTGGGGGTCCTGCTTCTATGGGGAGGAAAGATACAGAGCAGGGGCTCAGATGACTCCTGCTGGGAAAAAACCCTAAAACACTGCAGAGTGATGAGATGTGGCTGCAAAGGGCCGGGGGTGGGACCCTGGTGGAGGGTCACTGGCGCCTGGGTGCTGGGTGCTGGAACGGTGCAGCGGGTATGAAACAGTCATGAGGAAACGGTTGTGAGCCGTGTACTCAACAACAATGGAAGGGAAAAACCAAACCAGTCCAAGAGTTTTTAGAGAAATGAGGGGCCAGGGGGAGATCACTTCCGAGGGGTCTGCGCTCACCGTCGTTGACTCTGTAGCACAGGTTGCATTTCCATCGGCGCTGGTCGATGAAGGACACGAAGGGGTTGATGTAGGTCCGGCAGGACCGGCACCGCACGATGGTGTTGGACGTGATCACGGGCAGTTGCTGGGAGGAGAAATCAGAGACGTTATGGCAGGAAAGGCCAGGCCAAGCCAGGGTGACTCCACACGGCCTGCAGGAGAGCGTGCGGCAGAGCCGGGACAAACTCCTGGGAAGTGCAGGAACCAGGTCAGGGCTCAGAACCCACCATGAGTGGGACTTTTCTGGGGGGTGGGTGAGTGGATGGTGGCGGGTGGAGGGTATGTAAGGCAGAGAAAGAACCCGTATGACAATAATGGTAGGAAACGATCTCGCTGGACAAAAACTGGGTGTTGAAAGCAGGTAAAGATATATATGTGACAACTTTTCACTACCTGCATTGCAAGCCACAATGCTCAAAAAGAGGGAGAGAGGGAGAGGGAGAGAGAGAAAGGGAGAGAAAGGAAGAGAGGGAGGGAGGGAAGGAGAGAGGGAGAGAGGGAGGGAGAGGAAGAGGGAGGGGGAGAGAGAGTGAAAGAGAGAGGAAAGGGGAAAGGGAGAAGAAGGGAGAGAGAGACTGAGGGAGAGAAAGGGAAATTGGGGGGGGAGAGAGAGAGAGAGGAAAGTGCCTGCTACAGAGGCAGGAGGGGTGTTTGGGGGGTGGTAGATGAGAGGAAAACTGGGGACACAGGTGCTGGGACACAGTGTATGACTGAAACCCAGTTGTGAACACCTTTGTAATAGTCTATCACACAGTGATTCAATTTAAAAATTGAAATAATTTAAAAATTAAAAATAATTTAAAAAAAGAGTTCCTGGTGAGAAAGCTACAACTAGAGGCAGTGTCTCTGTCCTCAGGCCACTCCTGCCACCAGACTATCACTCTGCTTGTCACCCACCACCACAGGGCTGGTTGCAGATGCAGCAGTGCCTGTCAACTCCAGCTCCAGGGGCCACAGAGTACAGGTGATGGCATTTGCCTTGCACGCGGCGGACCTGGGTTCAATCTTCGGCACCGCACTGGTCCCCTGAGCCTGGGCAGGAGTAAGCCCTGAGCATTGCCAGGTGGCCCAAAGACAAAAACCAAACAAACTGACAAACAAAATTTCTGACTTTAAATAAGTGGTTAAAATCCTGAAGAAAAAGACACGACTGACACAAAAGCACACAGGCTCATCCCGGTCCCCGCCACGTTTTCCGATGTTACTTACCGTCAAGTCTCTGAAGGGGTGTAACAGCAGCCCCAAGGGGAGCTTGGCTTTATTCAGTAATGCCTGCGTCTGTGGAATGCTTGTCAATGTGCACCGGAACGAACTGCAAAGAACACCGACAACATGCGAAAGCATTCAGAAAACACCCCAGAACATTAAACTGGATAGTGCCGCAGTTAAGCACAGTTTAGGGGCATTGATGGAAGCTGGAGGTGTAACATAAGCGCTCAGAAGAGTCTGCTTACCTCAGATATATAAATAGTCACCGAAACATGCTCTTGGGATGGCAAAAGTGAAAGTGTGTCTTTTTCAAGTAAAAATTGAGCAAACACAATCTTACCGATTTAAAAGACATCAGAAGTTAAAAGACATTAAAAGACATCAGAAGACTTCTGAAGTCAAGAAAGATTGGTTCTACAATAAAAAATAAAAAACAGGTTCATGAACCAGCTAGCTTGGGAGATCCCACACCCAGGATCCCACATACCGATGAAATCGAGAGAAAACGGCAGCAACTGGAATGGCTAATTAGGGACTGAAGGCTGTTCCCACAGCCAGAGACAATAGAGAATTAAATGATTCCCCATCACGGAAGAGTAGAAAGCAGGGCCGGAGCAATAGGACAGTGGGGAGGGTGTTTGCCTTGCACACGGCCGACCCGGGTTCAAGCCCCAGCATCCTATATGGTCCCCTGAGCACCACCAGGAGTGATTCGTGAGTGCATGAGCCAGGAGTAACCCCCGAGCATCACTGGGTGTGACCCAAAAAGCCAAATACAAACAAAATACACACACACACAACTCACACACACAAACAAGAGTAGAAAGCAGATACTTACTCTGGGCTACAGTTTAGTTTTTTCAACTCTAAGTTCAAGTTAGGCACAGGGGGCCAGGGAGGCGTCGGGGGCAGGATGTCCCTCTCCTGAGTGAGGTTGATGGGCCTCAGGCTTTCAGGCTGTGGAGAGCTCTGGAGACTCAGCCCGCCCAGGCTGGAGGAGAGCGGAGCCATGCCAGGGTATTGCTGCGAGCAGAACACAGAGGAACAGAACGGGCGTGAGGAACATGTGCTTTACCACATGCCAGACACGGTAAGAGCAAGGAAGCGAGAAACTCCACCTGGCTGATCACAGCAGTGGGATCCACCAGGGCAGCCCAAACATCCTTGGGGAAAACTCAGAGCAAAAAAATACTGAACAGGAAATGGAGTGATAGCATAGCAGGTAGGGCATTTGCCTTGCATGCAGCCAAACCAGGTTTGATCCCCAACATCCCATATGGTCCCCCAAGCACCACCAGGAGTAATTCCTGAGTGCAGAGCCAGGAGTAAACCCTGAGCATCGCCGGGTATGGCCAAAAAAAGCAAAAAAAAAAAAAAAAAAAACCTGAATAAACTTACAGCGAAGCTTAAGATCAATAAGCTGGCCTCCTGTTCAGGCTGGACAGGCAGAAAGCCTCGTGCTTTCTTGAATAATGTATCAGTACAGAAATGTACACAGATATTAAATTCTTTTACTGTGTTCATTCATTTTCACGGTTTCCTCTGTTACATATTGGAGGCATTATTATCATTTCATGGCTCTCGGCTCAAAGTTGCTGGATGAATTTGTTATTTTTTCTTTTCTTTTTTGTTCTTTATTTAACAAATGAGTTATTAATTGTCTTAAGGCTCCAGCTCTCCAGTGTTTGGCCCTTTAACCTGGCTCCAGGGCCCTCCTGACCGGAGCCTGTCTGCTCACTCTCCCACATTCACAGCCTGCCTCTTCCTTCAGGCCTCAGCTCAGACGCTTTTCCAAAAAGCAATTTTCATTGCTTTTAAATAAATATGGTATCTAGAGATGGGATCTGGGGAGTAAGGTGTTTATTGCAGTTTATAGCAAGTTTGTTGCTATTATCACTTCCAGAAATGAAGTAATTACTTTTTTTCCATTAATAATGTTTTTGGAATAAACGTAACATTCATATATTTTAATGCCAAAACTTTACAATAAGATAAATTCAGAGACAATTCATTTAACTTTTGATCCCTTTACTTTTCAGTAGTTAAGAATAATTAACTAATTAAAAATCCCTCATTGTATCTATTCATAAATATATTCTACTGTATTCATATTTTTTACTAAAGAAAAAGTGCTGGGTTCAATAAGACAGTAAGTGGACGGGTGTTTACCTGGCATATTGCACATCTGGATTTGAACCCTGGCACCCCATATTGTCCCCTGAGCCCCGCCAGGAGTGATCCCCGAGTACTGATAGGTGGTGTGACTCAAAAAACAAAACAAACAAACCAAAAAAAAATAAAAATTCTGGCAAGAGCTCATTGAGACTCTACATTAATTCTCAGTTATTGAGCACTCTTTTATGTGAAAGTATTACACAAGTCTAACTGGTAAAGCATGAGGAATCAGCGGGAAAATCTCTATTTTATAACCCATAATGGACTAATGTTCATCTGAAACTGAAGATAAAAGACATCAACATAAATAATAAAACCACAAGGAACTTCACAATGACAAAACCCAGCCACCACCACGCTGGCCCCCTCACTTGATCCAGACCACACCAAAAGGAAATAAGCTGCCCGGTAGAGCGTTTGCCTTGCGCGCAGTCAGCCCAGCCGAGCCGGGTTCGATTCCTCCGCCCCTCTCAGAGAGCCCAGCAAGCTACCGAGAGTATCTTACCCGCACGGCAAAGCCGGGCAAGCTCCCCGTGACATATTCGACATGCCAAACACAGTAACAACAAGTCTCAAAATGGAGACATTACTGGGCCCGCTCCAGCAAAAATTGATGAACAACGGGAGGACAATGTTTGTGTGTTTTGTTTGCTTTTTGGGTCACACCCGGCAATGCACAGGGGTTACTGGGATGCTGGGAATTGAACGGGGGTCGGCCACATGCAGGTCAAACCCCCTCCCCACTGAGCCATTGCTCCAGCCCAAGTCACCACAATTCGAGCGACACAGACCCCAAACCTGTGACTGTCCTCAGAGCTGCCATGTGGCACCAGCTCAGCACCCACTTTCTGAATAAACTAAGGGAAAGTTCTAGGGTTGTGAGTGTGCATAGGAGCGAGTCTGGCTGATCGGGACACACGATGCCACTGTGAGACAGAGAACAGGTCGCGACACAGTTTCCTCTCTATTGTTAATAGAACTTAAAGCATACTTTGGTGGTGGCAAGGGGGTAAGGGCCCCTGCTGGTGGCCAGGGGCCAGTTCTGATTTTGCTGGGGGGACAAGGTGACGCCAGGGACCACACTCAGCCATCACCCACTTCCTGTCTGCTTATGAGACCTGGTCCCGTGGGGATGCCTGGGCCTGCTCCTGCCTGTGAGGCCCAACCCGGGCCCTGCCCCGAGGAACTTGGCGGGGACGTCCCCGCACACGTACCTGTGCATACTGGAAGCTGGGGTACGCAGGGCTGCTGGGCCGTGTTCCTGGGTATACGGGTGCTGCCGCATTCTGGTAGCCAGGCTGGAGCGTTGGGTACACGTACCCGAAAGGTTTGGCTGCTTTGGAAGGCTGGGCAGTCAGGGGGGCCGCGTCAGGCACAGGGTCAGGGTCAGGGGCCGGGTCGGGCGCTGGGCTGCTCGCTGACGATGAGAGCATGTCTAGGAGAGGGGAGACGGGGTGCGACCCTGAACACGGGGGCTCTCGCTCAGGCGGGCAGGAGAGCTGGGACCTGCAGAATCCCAGCCCCCTTTCCTTTTTTTTTTTTTTTTTGAGAATTCGAATGTAAATGAAAATGGAGAGAACAGAACCAGGAGCGCCATGGTCTGTCACTTGCTCCAATCAGCTCTGCCCCTGCACCCACCCTGCTTCCCACCCTCCCTGTCTTCCCCGGAGTGATGACAAGGAAGCTGCGTGTTTCATGTCATTTCACAGAGACTGCAGGGAACATGGCTACTCTTCCCTTCGTTCTCAGCAGAGACGGAAGCTGGGAGCAAAGCAAAGAACAGGAGAGGTGTCAAACCCTTCTTTTCTCCTGACCTGTTTTCACCTGGTCCCTTTGCCTCTAACAAACATTCGTGGGAAAAGGGGCTTATTTCCCCAATCCCCTGAGCGCGCACTTTTTGCTCTCAGGAGAGTATGAGAGGCAGGGTGCAGGACCGTCACACATTCCTAAGGCAGCGTCGGGGTCCCAGATGCCAAGGAAGACACCATGAAAGGATGCTCTTCCTCAAAACTGAAAACAGAGACTGAAACATGGTTAAAACTACCCACAAGTGGCAGGGATGTCAGCACGGAAGTACTGATCACAGCAACAAAGAGAATCATCCGAATCACTACACACAAGCCAGTGCCCACACTCTAGCAGAGTGTGGCTCTTCAAAAGCCTAATCTATAATCTAGATGCCTGGTGACCAACTGTTGTGGCCTCAGTGGCCCTGCGCTGCCCTCCTCAGTGTCTTGGGAAAGATCTAAAAAGACACACGTGTATTAGGATGAGAAGCCGGGTCATGAAGGAGGCAGGAAACTCCCTATCTCCAGCAAAGGAGTAGTATTTCGAGTTTCTCGTGCTGGGGTGAATCCTTGGACCTGACACACAAGAGGCTTCCAATTCACTTCATTTTACTGTTAAAGACGTTTGTGTCTTTTCTTAATTTTGGTGCAGCATAAATAGCTAAAAAAAACCTTGTCCAAGGTTGCTTCCGTGAAAGCAAGTGCTTACGATTTGTTGATTAAATGAAGTGGCGCAGACAAGCCCACATCTAACTCCACAGCCCTGTTCTTTTAGCAGACAATTCACTGCAGGTGAATCTGAAGCTCATGAGATACAATTATACTTGAATTATTTCTCTTCTGAGTAAAATGAACCAATGCTTCTGAAACTATTTTGCTCACAGTAATTGCTTCTGGAATGGCCCCCAAGTTCACATACCAGCACCCAGTATAAACACACAACACACACACACACACACACACACACACACACACACACACACACACACACACGGAGAAGCCCAAGCAGCTGACGCAAACTTTCTGCCAAGAGTGGAAGGGATATTCTAAGCTGGGAAGGCCAAACAATTCCACGAACTCGGGGTACTGACAGCAAGAGGGTGGATTTCAGCCGAGTACACTCCACCGTCAATTAGGTCTCATCCTGGATTACTGTCAGAGCGGCAAGAAATCAAGAAAAAGATAGAATTACCCATTCCCTTAGTCTTAAAGAATAACCAGAGCAAAGGAGAAAAAGAGGAAGATTACGTGCGAGTGTCAGATTGCTAATGACAGGGAAATATGGAAAATCACAGTACCAGATACTATCAAGAAATCACCATCAGCTACACAAGCGAAGTTTCTCTCTGTTATTTTCACTTTGCATTTTATGCATCTGGTTGTTTCTATGTAACAAAGTTATTTCCAGATATGGTTAAAAGCGATGCCTCGGAAACCTTGCTCCTGGTGGTCAATCGATTTACCTGGCTGACGCAGCCAGGAGCCAAGGGAAAGTAAAGAGTCAAAGACTATTTATACTCAGGCTAGTTGGAAGGAATTCAAGGACCTGAGCATGAGAACAGAAATATATAATTCATTTAAGGAGCGACGAGAGTAACAGGGATGGGAAGGAGGAAAGTTGCTCACTATTGCAGGTCTAAAAGAAAGAGCTTGTAAAGCACAGGGAACAAAACGAGAAAAACCGCATTTCCTTGGGCCTCCCAGAAATCACATTCGTGGCTATTATCTGACCCTGACCATCATTCCGGCTGAGAAACGGCAGCGGAGTGTCCCTGTTTTCTGGGAAAGCTTGGGTTCCTGCGTATGTGTCAGAATGTACACCCACGTTTGACGGCACCAGCTGGTAGTTTCCCAAGACGGGCCACCAGCACGAGGACCACTTACCTGGGTAGCTGCCCCCTTCCAGGGCGTCGTAACTGTTGGGCACGGGGGACGCACTGCTGGTGGTGGACGAGCTGGGCACACCTGCAGGGGAAGCGGAGCAGAGTGAGAGGCAGGCAGAGCCCAGCCACTTCCTCACAGGGACACGGTGGGGATGGGGGAAGACCAGCTATACCCATCCCACAAGCAAGAACACAGAACAGCCACACACGGGGTTCACAGACGGAATAAAATCGAACCAAACACATTTTATCCTTTTTCTTTTCTTTTTGCTTTTTTTGGGGTCACACCTGGCAATGCACCGGGGTTACTCCTGGCTCTGCACTGAGGAATTACTCCTGGCGGTGCTCAGGGGACCATATGGGATGCTGGGAATTGAACCTGGGTTGGCCGCGTGCAAGGCAAACGCCCTACCCGCTGTGTTATTGCTCCAGCCCCGGAACCAAACACATTTTAAAGATCAGACAAGACGATTGAAAGTAGACGAGGGCTCAGGGATGAGATGAGGCTCTAGTGACACAGCAAATGCCTTTCACAGACAAAGCCCTGGGCTTGAGCCCAGACAACCTGAGTTGCCCCAAATCCCTGCACGGCCAGGTACTGCTCCCCTCAGAAAAAAAGGGCAGCCAAACTCAGAAAAACACAACACAACAAAACAAAACGTTTACTGTGACATCAATAGAAATGATAACCATCACACCTCAAAAATGCAACTAAATTTCAAGCTAGATACCAAAACATGTCCTTATTAATATTAGGGTATTTTTTTAGGAGGGAATTTAAAGCAGCATAACACAACTATGGGAGAGCTTCGTGAAATGTGGCGTGTGGGACTTGTGTTGCCACCTCGCATGTCACCAGGCTTATTACTGTCTCAGTTTGTCCATGTACACCCCGGTGAAGGGACTGACCCTGCCATCTGAGTAAGATGACCGAAATGAAAGACACTCAAATGTAAGTGTTAAACTACAAGAATTTGTGTATGTGTTCATGTAGCACTGAAAGATGCTGTAAGGAATGTTCACTGGTTTATGACATTTAGTGACGGGTCACAGACAGTGCAATATAGAATGCGTCTCCTTCACTCTCTCAATATTTCATCGACAGGCTAGGCTCAAGGCTTATTTTTCAACTGGAATATAAAAAAGAACAGTTACTCAAAGTCACCTTCCACTGAATAATTTGGGATAACCCTGAAAATTCACGGACTCAGGACAGAATAGCTAAAGTCATATCTAAGGAACATTTTTAAAAAATTTTTATTAGTGAGACATCATGAGGTACAGTTGTAGACCCACAAATTCTTGAGCCTGGGTTTCAATTATACAGTGATCAAATATCGATCCCTCCACTAGTACCCATTTCCCACCACCATGGATCCCAGTATCCCTCCCACCCCCACCTCCCCATCCCAGCCTGCCTCTGTGGCAGGGTATTCCCTTTTGTTCTCTCTCTCCTTTTGGGTGCTGTGGTTTGCAAAAGAGGCATTGAGCGGCAATCATGTTCGGTCTACAGTCTACTTTCAGCATGCTTCTCCCATCCTGGGCAAATCCTCCCAACACTCTATATGGTACTCCCTTCTCTATCTGAGCTCCCTTTCCCCCTAGCATGTGTGGCTGGCCTCCAAGCCATGGAGTAAAATTCCTCATACTGATCTCATCCATTCTTGGGTGTTAGTCTCCTATTTTGTTACTTTATATAGGGAACATTTTTTTTTAACCAGCAGGAGTTAAGGCATAGAAGCAGAAAAGTGCAGGCATATCAGACTGCCATTTGCTTGTACAACTCTGGGTGGCAGTCTTCTCCTAGCCGCAAAGTTTCTCAATGCCCTGAATGTGCCTTTGAATGTTCTGGGGGTTGTGAGTGAAACAGCAGCACGAAACAGCGTGGCTTATGCATAAGGGCTGGATGGGAAGCCGGAAGGTGAGGCAGAAGGAAACTGTTGCCTGCATATGTCATGATGCTTTCATGAAAACACAAAGTAATGACTCTCCCTTTTGACCCTTATACTTGGAATTTATTTATTTATTTTTGGCTTTTTGGGCTATACCCGGTGATGCACAAGGGTCACTCCTGGCTCTACACTCAGGAATCACTCCTGGCGATGCTCGGGGCGGGGAGGGGGGGACCATAGGGGATACCGGGGATTTAACCCGGGTCGGCCGTGTGCAAGGCAAACGCCCTACTTGCTGTGCTATCACTCCAGCCCCATACTTGGAATTTATAACTAAAGAATAAAGCTAACATTATAAGGTCGAACATCTTAAAGTAGTGATGCCACAGAGACAGTACAGGGGCTGAGATGTCAGCCTGGCTCCATCCCCGGCATCCAATGGGCCCTGGCACTATGGCAGTGTCCTGGAGAGCACCATACCTTTGGGAAATCACTTGGAACCAAAGCCAGGCTAGCCCATAGTCCGTCAGACCCACTGTGGGAGGCCAACAACAACAATAACAACAAGTCTTAAGAGTCATGATACCCAAGACTCCAATTAATCGACGACAAATGCTTACATAAAACACAGTGTTTCAACAGGAGAGATACTGATAGCTTTATTGATAGCTTTAATTCCAAAAAAGTATGCAGCACTGCTGCACAGTACCAGTGTGAGTGAGCCCTGAAATCTAAGTGATGGAGGCCAGATGCTGTAATTCCTTTTATAGGCAATGTAAAGGGCTGGAGTGAAAGTACCGTGGGGAGGGCATTTGCCTTGCACACGGTCGACCCGTGTTCGATTCCCAGCGTCCCATACAGTCCCCCAAGCACCACCAGGAGTAATTCCTGAGTTCAGAGCCAGGAGCAACCCTTGAGCACTGCTGGGTATGAACCCCTCCTCCCCCCAAAAAATATATATAGGCAATATACAAACAGAAGACTCTATGACTCTATGGTGCTGTGAAGCAGAGGGCGGCATTGGGGGTGGTGCAGCGCGTTCGTGAGGGCTAAGGGAAGACTTGACAGCTGCACTGTTGCCCTTGGAGATGATGGTGTGCTTGGTTCTGTCTAGAGCACACTCCACAAAGTCCCAAGTGGTGTGAAGCCACACCTGGATGGCCAGTTCCTGTTAGACCCCGAGTCGGCACACACAGGTCAGCCTCTCCTGAATGCCAACGCCGCTGATGGGGTCGGTTCTCCTTCTAAGTGGTTAATGCCACTGTGTGAAATTCTACTAACAAAAGGCCCGGACACCTCCATGAGCTTCCTCTTCTCAGTGAAGGTGCTACAGCAACCTGACGCACACGCAGCATTCAGCCAACTCAGAAAGTGAGCCAAGAGGAGCTACATGCAAACGTGCGAAAAGGCGAGAGGCTTTTTCTCTTCTGCCGCTGCTGCTGCATCTGACAGACGGACGCCACATCAAGAACCTTCGGCCCAACTCAAGGCCTCAGGTGCCTTCCTCTCAGAAACAAAACAAACAAAAAACCCACTCTGGACCTTGAATTAGGTCCTGGATTCTTTGGCCTGGCATCCGTTAAATGCAGAAACAAAAAAACAAACTGGCCTTGGTCCATGAAAAACTTATGTGGTCCAAGTACCAAGAAAAGTCAAGAGCTCCAGGCATGGGAGAACGTCGGAAAATGGACTCAGGAAGGGGCTGGAGCGATAGCACAGTGGGGAGGGCGTTTGCCTTGCACGCGGCCAACTCAGGTTCAATTCCCAGCATCCCATATGGTCTCCCAAGTACCTCCAGGAGTAATTCCTGAGTGCAGAGCCAGAAATAACCCCTGAGCATTGCCAGATGTGACCCAAAAAGCAAAAAAAAAAAAAAAAAAAAAAAAAAAGATTCATGAAACATCCATCAAAAGGACCCGCCATCTAAAGTATTCATCTTACGTGGATTCAAAATAGGCAAAGGTTTCAACAGGCATTTCTCCACAAAAGATATACAAAAGGCTGATCAACGAATGAAAACAAGCTCAACAGCTCAATAGCATATTAACCATCATGGAAGTGAAAACTCCATCGCAATGGGACCGACTCTGCTTCACAGCCACTTACATGGATCAGAAAAGAGAAACTTCTGGCAAGGGGCAGGAGAAGTGAGAACCTCCAAAGATTGTAAATGGTGCAACCATTCTAGGAAAGTCTGAGATCCTTAAATGGTGGAGCCACCCTAAGCCACTATCCAGTTCGGATGTCCTTCTCTCCCAGAAGGGAGCAACATGCCAAAACCATGACATTCGACCCCACACCAGGCTGTTTCACTTGGGGCATCCTGAGGCGAGGCGAGCGGTGAAAGCCCTCCCCACCCCAAGTGACCCAGCCCTAGCAGCCGAAAACCTCCAGAACTCAACAGCTGCCACACTCAAGGCTGCTCTCCAGGCGCTCGGGCCAAGCCTCACCCACAAGTGAACCTTTCCCTGGACCTTCATACCACACACCCTACCCATACTCCGAGAGTACCGCACCACATTTGATGGGGGGGGGGTTCAAAGTGGGACACGACTAACCTTCACTATCACTGTATCACTGTCATCCCGTTGTTCATCGATTTCCTCGAGCAGGCACCAGTAACGTCTCCATTTGTCTTAGCCCTGAGATTTTAGTGAGTGCCACATTGGAGGCTATTTCAGGGTCAGGGAAATGAGACTCATCATTGTTACTGGATTTTGGCATATCAAATACACTACGGGGAGCTTGCCAGACTCTACCATGTGGGCAGGACTCTCAGTACCCTGCCCGGTTCTTCGAGAGTGAGAACTAGACAATAAGAGGTTGTGCAGCCGTGAATGCGGCTGTGCACTTCCAGGAGCTTGGTTTTGTAGTCTCTGGATCTTGGCCATTGATGGGATTACATAGCACCGGGGGCAGACCACCAACCTTAGAGGGAAATATTACATTATTTCATTTCTGCTTTGAGGCAGGGATTGGGATTTGGAATGGAAACACCTGAAATACGGTGGTGGGAAGGTGTCATGGTGGTAGGATTAATCAAATATCGTGAACTACTTTATAAAATAAAAATATTAATTAAAACCAAATAAAAGGTGGTGTCCAGTGACCTGTGTGTGTCTTGACTATGGCACTCAGCGGAAATGCATAGGCCTGGTGACTGGCCCCCTGGGGCACGTGGCCAGCCAGCGTGTGAGTCCGAGGGTGGATCCCAAACCACCTGCCCCTGCAGCATGCCATGCCTCCCCTGGGCAGGACCTACGTGGACACAGGCAGAGGAAAGCCAAAGAAAGCAGAATTAAATCAGGGGGACGGCCTTCCCTTATTAAGATTCTATAACTGTGTGTCACAAGAGAAAGATTTGGACCCTCTGGGGGTGGGAGGCAGCAGATGGAGTCAAGGGCACAGTCCTGAGGCTGGGTGGGGGGGTCTCCCGACCAGCACAGTGACCAGTGATCCTTCCAGCAGGCAGATGCAGGCTTCAGAGAGAGAAAACGAGAAGGAGCTTGGCGGGACCAGGCCCAGCAGTGGGTCTTGGGAGCAACGGGGGACTCCGTGTACCTCTGCGGCAGAAGCATCTGATGGCATCCCCGTCCAAACGAGATAGAGCAACTACACCCCGAGAGAAAGGCCAGCAACAGCTGACCAGCAGCTTCAACTCACAGGGAAAGACCACCTACATTGTGTCAGGAGCATTGAGCCAAACAGGCCAGTGGCACAGGGAGAGCCCCTACTGCCCTTCCACCCCCACCCGGCCACCTGGGCCCAGGGCCCAGCCCCTACTGCCCTTCTGTCCCCCCCCACCCCCCGTCACTTGGGCCCAGGGGAAAGCCCCTACTGCCCTCCTGCCCCTACCTGGTCACTTGGCACCAGAGGACAACCCCTACTGACCTCCTGCCCCCACCCAGTCATTCGGGGCCAAGGGGAGGTCACCTGCTGCCCTCCCGCCCCTACCCGGTCACCTGGAGCCAGGAGACAGCTCCTACTGCCCTCCTCTCCCCACCCGGTCACCTGGGGTCAGGGGCCAGCCCCTACTGCCCTCTCGCCCCCACCCGGTCACTTGGGGCCAAGGGAGGTCACCTACTGCCCTTCTGTCAGACAGATGCCTGGACAGACACAGACGTGCCAGGGAGTGTGGATGCAGGAGGGTCGCTGCCCCCCGCTGGCCGAGCACGGCTGCTTGGATGATCCCTTGGTTCCCCCTGTTGCCAAGTCGCTGCTGACTCTCTTCCCTGCCCACCGCAGAGGCCCACCAAGGCGACTCAGACAGGACTGGCGAATGGATGAGCTTGAGGAGAGTCAGGAATTTAGAAAAGAACCACCTGGGTCCCCCAAATAACCCACTCTTCAGCCTGCTCCCCTCGACACAAGCACACTCGACCTTCAGAAGCGTCTAACCAAGGTGAGCCGCTGACAGGCCGCAGTGCATGCCCGGCCCCTGCCCTGCACCGGGGAGAGAGACAACTGCCCTGCCTCCACACTGAGCCGGGAGCAGCCTCCAAGCACCACTAGGGGTGTCCCCCCCCATACACACACACCCACAAGACTGTCCCTAATGAAAAAAGCAACACACACCCTCTTCAGGGGCCGGAGGGATGGTCCAGCCTCGCATGGGTCAATCTGGGTTCTCTCCCTGGCACTGCAACTAGTACCCAAGAACCCCCAGAAGTTCCTGAGCAGAGCAGGGTATGGCCTCCTGCCCCCTGCCCCATCCCAAGTGAACAAACAAATTGAAAAAGAAAACCTTACAACAATTTCCAAGTACAGGGAATTTTAAAAGAATAAATGATTAGGGGCCAGAGCAAAAGAACAGCGGGGAGGGCGCCTGCCTTGTGCTCAGCTGATCCGGGTTTGATCCCTTGTACCCCCATATGTGTCCCCAGCCACTTACCCCCTCCCCTGTTCCCAGAGTGATCCCTGAGCACCACAGGGAGTGGCCCAGAAACACATAAAATGCAGAGTCTGGTAGCAATGACCACGCACCACAGTCACACAGACAGTGGGTGGCTTCTGGAATAACCATCTCTGCTAAAGGAAGCAGAGACTGGGGACGACTGGGGAATCACTCCAGGCGGAGCGACAGCAGTGGGAAGTGTGTGAGGGGTCAGAAGTGCACAGAAGCAAGGCTCAGAGATTCAGGGGAACATATGAAAAACATGCAATCTGAAGGGGCTGCCACTGGCTGAGGCTAGTGTAAACTGGTATCAAAATAATGTAATAGTAACAGCCTGGCAGTGAAGTATTCAATATGGCAAAAACAGTAAAAAGCCTCACAATGGAGACGGTACTGGGGAGGACAGTGCAACAGTGTCACAGTGCTACAGTAACAGATCATAATTGACTGCATAAGCCAAAAACCTTTGAGTCAGCCTGAACCTAGAGGGAACAGCGACAGGGGAGGAAAGCTCTTCCTTACTATGAAACCTCGGCTCACAGACAAGGGCAAAAGGTTAGAAGTAGGAACCCCCCAACGTTAAAGTAAGTGGGCAGCTATTTGGTAAACGAGACATTTACAAAATACCAAATAATTTCCCCACAATAACTCATAAATTTCAAGGGGGATTTTTTTGTTTTTGTTTTTGTTTCTTTACAGTGGAAAACATCAGGCAAACACCGACTCAGTCAAAGCTCAAATTTCTTGTCATCAACGTGGGAATAAACCAAACACCAAGTATAGGATGGATTGAGAAAACAACCTCACTTCAGTGCTCATCCTGTCCGACTGTAGGACTTCAATCTAATCATAGTCGAGGGCCAGGTAACCCCAAACCAAAGGACATTCTACAACATAACTGACCTGCATTCTTCAAAAACATCATGGTTGGGGCAGGAGCGAGCACAGCAGGGAGGGAACTTGCTCTGTGTGCAGCCAAGCCGGGTTCAATCCCTGCCATCCCTAAGCTCCACCAGGAGTGATTCCTGAGTGATTCCAGAGCCAGGAAGAACCTCTGAGCATCGCCAGGTATGGCTAAAACCGCCTCCCCTCACCACCAAAAAAATAGTAATAAATAAAAATTCAGGAAAAAAAAGAAGGTTAAGGAACTGTTCCAGATTAAACGAGTCTAAACAGAAATACAACTAAACCCACTGCGTGCCCTAGACTGGGTCCTGGTGTGTGAAGATGTCAGATCATTCTTACTTCTCTTTCTTTCTTTCTTTCTTTCTTTCTTTCTTTCTTTCTTTCTTTCTTAGGTTCCTGGGCCACCCCTGTGGTGCTCAGTGCTTACTCCTGGCTTTGTGCTCAGGAATCACTGCTGGTGGGTAAGGGGTGGGTGGGAACCATACAGGGTGTCGGGGACTGAACCTAGGTCGGCCACGTGCGAGGCAAGTACTGTAACCCCTGAGCCATCTCTCAAGTTCCCAAAATATAAGCTCTTGCTGAGACAGCTGGTGAGATGTGACTCTGGATGTGTAGCAGGCCTTACTTCATCACTGTTCGGTTACTCATACCTGTGTTGTGTCTCTGTCAGTTAAGGCACTTTCCTTATAATCACAAAGGTGAAAGGCTGAAATTGCCAATTTACGTTCAAATGAATGTAGTGGGGGAAATGGCTAACAGAATTATATATCAAATGCGGTAAAATGGTTTCTCTGGGCAAAGGTTTTTGGGAGTTTCTTCTTTTTAAAAAAAACTTTGGGCCACACTCAGGGATGTTCCTGGCTCTGTGCTCAGGGATCACTCCCAGTAGGGTCCAGGGACCATACAGGGTCAACCGTGTGCAAGGAAAATGTCCTGCCCTCTGAGCTATCACTACGGCCCCTTGGGAATTTCTTTCACTTTTCCTTAACTTCCTCTAAGAGTGAAATTATATAAAACTCAAAATTAAAGACCTGAGGCCCGAGGGCAGAGGGATAGTATGGTGGGTAAGGCAAATGCCTTGTATAGATCAAGGCTCCACGGCTCCTGGGCTTAAAATTCTTATAAACAAACAAGAACCAGAGGCCTTTAGTGAGCTGGAGCAAATCCTCCCATCAACAACGAAGATAACGAGGAAACTCAAGCCAACCATCAAGAACCAAAGATCTCCCTGCCTGCTGCAGGCTGATACTACTGGGGGCTCAAACCTTTTCAGGGTAAGAAGGATCAAAGGGAATTACAAGAATCACTGTCCCATTTTCTCCCATTATTATAAAATCATATTCTGGTGTTTTGTTTAGTCACATGCACAGCAGAAAATAAAACACTCCCAGAGGCTGGCTAGAGCTAAAGCATCAGCGAGGCTCATTGCTTTGCGTGAGGCATGAGAACATGTATTTCCGACGGAAGCAAGCACTGTGGTTCTGAAAGCAGTCCAGTCACCCATGACAGGGCAAAGGTGAGCAAAGGATGAAAAACAAAGCCAACAGGCGGGCACAGGCAGGCAGAACACCTGACTTCCGGTGGCCCAACCTCGCTGAACCCAGGCCCAGGACATCCACTGAGCCGAAACCTCACGGACACCTTTGGAAAGGCAGACACGGAGGGTAGACACCAAAGGGGGGCACGAAAAGGAAAAACAACAAGGGATGGGGGTAGAGCTAGAGCAGACCTGCTTCCTCATCCTCCTCCTCCTCGTCATCGTCATCGGACGTGGATGACAAGGGCGTCGCTGCGGAGCTAGCTCGGTTACTAACATAGTCACCGTACTGCGCGCCTGTGAAGTGGAGAGCACAAACACGAGAGTCAGACCAACAGGGAGACGAGAAGGACATTTTGACAATGCATTCACAGTGTGAAAAGAACGTAATGGCATTCCAAAGAACACCCCACATGCATATTAATACCGGCCAATATGTGACAGACACCGTTAGTTGAGTCCAAGTAGCTTTCCTACGAAGGGACCGACCAAGAGGGAAGCAGCGCCCTGCGTTACGCGGATGATACTGTGGGAACCAGACGACGGTCTCTGAGCGCTGGATGGGAGTGCCCGCCTTTTCCCTCCTTACCCTTCGCACTGTGGTGGGTTCCTCGGTGAGCGGCAAGCCTGGCTACTGAGATATCTTTCTACCACATGGGGCTGGCACCTGCCTTAGCTAATACCACCTCAGTGGCAACTCTCTCCCCATAACGGGAAAAGAATGACAGTTAAGGGAAAAATAACTGCATTTGCATAATTCTTTGACCCTAGCAAACTCTCAAATATAAAAATTTTTTAAAAAGGAGGGGCAGAGGAATGAATGTGTGTGTGTGTGTGTGTGTGTGTGTGTGTGTGTGTGTGTGTGCGCGCACGCGCGCTATGAATTGTGCCCCTACTGGCGGTTCTCAGGGGTGGCTCCTGGCTCTGCACTCAGGAATCACACCTGGCTGGTGGACTTCGGGCACCTTAGGGAATGCCAGGGACCAAGCCCGGGTTGGCCACATGCAAGGCAAGCTCTCCGCCCACTGTACCATGGTTCTGCACCCCCAAAAAGTAAATTTTCTGAGCTGCCAGAGGCCTGCAGTTCAGTGCCTGTGTGTGCTCCTGTGTTCGCATCCCATGAGACAGGCTGGCCGCACCAACCCGGAGCAAAACGCCACAGCTGATCCTGCCCTAGAAAGAGCCCATTGGGTTTTGTTCTTTTTTTTTTTTTAAATCATTTTATGAATCTGGAAAAACGTCCTCAAAAGTTTTAAGAGTGGAAAGAGAGCAGTGTTAATCAAAAACAAAGACACTTCATAATCAGACCGTGGGCGCACTCGCAGCCGGCTCTTCCCCGCGTGCTGCCCCCACAGGGACAAACAGGACTCCTCCAAAGAGTGACCAACCCGGACCCAGAAAGATGGCCCAGCGGCCACTAGCCCAGGTTTCTCCCTGGCACCTCAGATGGTCCTCCAAGCATCACCAAGAGGAATCCCTGAGCGCAGAACCAGGAGCAATCCCTGAGCAATGCCAGGTATGGCCCAAAAAACAAAAACAGAGACAAAGAGAGAAAGACAGAGACAGAGACAGAGAAAGACAGAGACAGAGACAAAGACAGAGAGTCAGAGCCAGAGAGAGCCAGAGACAGAGAGAGCCAGAAAGACAGACAGAGAGACAGAGACAGAGGGAGAAGGCCACTAAGTGTTAAAAGTCAAGCTTAGATGCAAGCAAAGTTTAGTGTGCAGGGAGAAATGCCTTCCACCAAGGCTGAAGAAAAGCCCACCCATCTTCTCGAAATGTTGTTTAAATGTCCATAAAATAACAGCTACCACCGATTCATCTAAGGACATAAAACTCAATGAAAAACCAGTTCAGGCAATATTTGAAATACACTAGATGCCCTGAAAGACCAAGCTCAGGATGGCAAGGTTTTCTCCAAATGCAAACGTGGCCAACACCAGCAGCGTGGGAGATCTGTGAAGAACCTCATCGCTAAGTCCCAGGACACACTCTCAGAGCAAAAACTCAACTTCAGGATTTCTTTAAAAATGGACATAAATATTCATAAACATAATAGACAAAGAAGAGGGAAAAAACACGGAGAAATCCCACTCACGGATGGAGTAAGAATGGCAACAGTAGGCAAAACCCGAAGAGACATCGTCCCTGACGAGTTGTGCAGGGAGCTGGCTCCGGAGTCGAGGGAGCCAAAGGTCAGGGCAAGGGAAACAAGTGGGAGGTCAGATTCCCCTCACCTTCCTCCACCTCTACAAACTACCAACAGACTTCACTTGCTACTGCAAATAGCCAATGTTTCACTGGGGGGGAAAGGGATGCCGCTCTGCAATATGAAATACTGGTGGCGCGGTTACAAGAGTGGAGGGCCGGGCGCCTGGCAGAACAACGCTGCGTCATCTTATCCGAGAACACACTCCAACGTACCACAGCACGATTAGACTTGACTCTCCTGGGAAAAAGATGCGATCCTTCCAGAGCCTTCCAGAGCCACGCAGGAGCTGAGACCGGGACTTGGGTCTTTTGGGCAGGAGAGTGCTCCGGGAGCCGGAAAGCAGCCTCGGCATGTTGGGAGGCTCACCTTGGAGCTGGGCACCAAGCTTGGTCTCCTAAGCACTACTGGGCTGACCAAGCACTGAGTTGAAAACAGCCCAGGGACCACCAGGTGTGACCTCCGCCCCTCCCCCTCTGGCAACTATAACAGCAAAAAAGATTGAAGCTTTTTCTCCCGCTGTATTTAGTAATTAAAATAAGAATTTAGCCTTTTTGGCTAGTCCAAGTACAACCCTGTTAAAAGCTTAGAACCACTAACGGCCTAAGAATATGGTGTTTGGGGGCCTGAGAGGTAGTATAGAGGGGAAGGTGCTTGTCTTGCACTTTGCCACCCTGAGTTCAATCTCCAGTACCCCCATATGGTCGCTAAGCAGTGCTAGGAGTAAGCCCTGAGCATCACCAAATGTGCATCCAAGAAGAAAAGAATAGGTGGCTTTAGTTAATTAACCTCTAGCAAAAGAATAGTTTTGCTGGAGCGATAGCACAGGTAGGGCGTTCGCCTTACAAGCGGCCAACATGGCCGACCCGAGTTCGATTCCTCCGCCCCTCTCGGAGAGCCCGGCAAGCTACTGAGAGTATTTGATATGCCAGACACAGTAACAACAAAGTCTCCAATGGAGACGTTACTGGGCCCGCTCGAGCAAATCGACGATCAATGGGAGGGCCTTTACCTTTACCTTAACCTCTAGCAAAAGAATAGTTAAGAACCTCAGGTTAAGAATCAATCCATCTATCAGTGTCCTGCTCAAGGACAAGGTGAGGACATACAAATCCCTACCCACGCTGAGGCTGGAGTGATGGTCCAGTGGGGAGGGTGATTGCCTTGCACACATCTGAACTAGGTTCAATTCCTGACACCCCCAGATGTTCTCTCGAGCACCACTAGTAGTGATCCCTGAGTGCAGGGCCAGGAGTAAGCCCTCTGCATCGCTGGGTGTGGCCCCCAAACAAACACAAAATGAAACAGATGGCAGCAAATGGATATTTCCAGTCAGAAAGGCCTACGGCCCCCACCCAGAGCCTCTCAAGAGGCTGAGCCCAGGTATGGAGCACACAGGAGCAAGCGGGACGGGGCGGGACGCGGTGGCTTCCTCCGGAGCTCAGCCCAGAGGACACCACAGCCAACACGGAGCAATGCTGTATCTGAGGGGAGCTTTAAGGCCCAAGTCCAGTGATGCCTGAAGTAAGGTGCACTTCACCTCATGGGCTCTGGAGACTGTGAGGGCCTTGTTCCTGAAAGGACACCACAGGGAGCGGTCCCCAAAGCGCTCTCGAGAAGAATTCTCTAGGAAACCGTCTCCTTGGGGGCGCTTCAAAGAGAGCAGCACGACTGTTCCTGAGACACAGCTACCCTGGGAACATGCCTCAGTGAGGAGGATGAATCCCAGGAGAGTGGGGGGGGGGGGGGGAGATGCTGTGTGAAATTCAGCCCTCAGACACCTGAGACATGACTCTCACCTAAGTGGTCTTCACAGGAGGAATAAACGCTGCTCAGAGACTTCCCAAGATTCCCACCAAAAATTGGGTTTAGGGGGACTAATCCCCATAGTACACTTTCTTAAAATGGACCCGTCTAAGGAAACTCCAGGGTAAACTACAGCCTCTCTCTCACGCTACACAGGAAGCATGGTCCCTTCATATATCCTCCAACTGATATAGCAAGAGTCATCCTGGGACGTGTGGTATGTCTGTCAGGTACTAATGGGCAACTGTCCTTCCCTTCAGAGGAGGACCTGGGAGAGGTGAGGGTTGTAGGAGAGAATGGTGGGTAAGACAACTGCCTGCACACAGCTGACCCCGGTTTGATTCCTGGGCTCAATGTCCCCCCAAGTCCTTCCAGAGGAGATCCCCAAGCCCAGAGCCCGGAGTAAACCCCGTACACCACCAGCTATGGCCCTCAAATGAAAATAATAATAAACGATGAATCAGGTCAGTAAAGCTAGAGGGATTCTTCATGGTGCAGTACCTGTGTGAGACCTGTCAGGAACACTGAGTGAGGCTGGGAGACTAACTCGGATATGTGGAAAAGGAGGCGAGAGGTACAGAGCTGGACCTATTGGATTATTCTACACCGCATGCTCCAGCACTATCAAACTAGCCACGCTTCAGAGAGGTCCCTAAGAGGAGATGGCTGGAGAGACGCCGTATGCCTGGCAGCTACAGTGGGGACTCTGGGCTCAGTGCTAGGCCGGCCACTCTTGGCCAACAGGTACTTGGCAAGCGACTACACTCATTCTCTCTCCCATCATTGGTAAAGTAAGGTGGCAACTTCGATGAGCTCTTGCGAGGAGTCAATGAATTACTCTACTCCAGGGCTCAGGATGGCACCTGAGACAAACTAAATAAAACACAAGTATGAGATATTATCACTGAATGTGTTTTTTCATATTTAATGAAAACCAATCATTTCTATCAATTGTCCCTAGGACAAATCATGAATTAGAAAAAAAGAATTTTTCTTATATAAGTGTTATCACAACATAGATTCTTCTAAAATTCTCTCAAAAACAAGTAGACCTTTTTTTAAGTCTATGCTGTTTGTTTTAAATAAATACATTGGATAAGAACTTAGATAAAAATTCTATTTGCATTGCACACAGCCAACCTGGGCTCAAAACCTGGAATCCCTTATGGTCCCTCAAGCACTGCCAGGAATGATCCTTGAGCACAGAGCCAGGAGTAAGCCCTGAGTAAAACCAGGTGTGGCCCCCAAACAAACAAATAAACAAAAAAGGGCTGCCAACACT